CCTACCATTATGGTCAGAAATTAATTTGTTTTTTTGTTTTATTAAAATTCATTTGTAAAAGTGCAATAATGGCAATGGAGATAGGACTACATCGGTATAGAAGTAAGGCTTGGATAGCAAAGAAAAAGGTGGACAAATACTGTCCTTCACAGATATTGGCAAACATTAGCACAATGAGCTGTAAAAAACATCGTTGATTCTTATCCTTTTGACCATTAACTCAAAATCTTAACAAAAAATCTAATCTTTATTTGAAGTACAATGACTGAAAAAAACCCTAAATCCTGCTATGAAATAAATACTTTTCTGAAATGTTTGTACCATAATTTTTGGCAGCCCTGGAAATTCTCATGAGCCAAATCCAACTGAAGTGTATTCCCATTCATATTTGATGTTTTAAAACAACAAGGAACACTTTTATTTCAGCCATGACTTTCTGTTTCACTGGGGTATTAATATGAGGTGTCACACAGCACAAATTCCCTTTGTCATCTCTCACTACAAAAAAGACCAGAGAAAATAGCAATGATGTGTGACAAAGGTTGTTGAGCTGTACAAATCAGGAAATGGCTACAAGTAATTGCACGCACTAGTTAGATCTTATGGTCAGAATGTTTCCCTAACTACAATAAGATTCAGTGTGGATCAGAGTGGATATGATATTTTAATATAAATAAGAGAAGGTTGATTACCTATATTGTATTTTTTTCAGTAAGGTCATTAGCTGTTATGCCAAAAATTATATGCCTGATATTTAGTTTAATCTAGTGTAAGTCTAGTGTAAGTATAGAAGTCTGCTTTGTGTGTATAAAGTCATTCAAGTCATTCTAGAAAATTAGTTTGTATTTACATTTTTAAAAAGATGTGGTAAAATTTATTATTTTCATATGATTATCGTTCATATTCTGCTGAATATTATAAATATTCACATAAACATACACATAACAACTGGTTATTTTGAGGTTGTATGGAGAGTATATTACAATTTTTCCACTTAGGACAGGGAATAGGAATCATCTAGCACCATTTGATATTTTAGCAAAGACAATAGAATTTTTTTTTAAAAAAAGCAAATGTATAGGTATTAAGAAATGATTTATCTTAATTTACCCCCATTATTAAGTAATTGACTAAATAATAGAAATTAATTATCAAACCATCTTTGTTTTTTCAAAGCTGTATTTTCATTTTATTTTTTCTCTGTTGTTCCAAATAAAATACTTGCTTGGAGAGAAATTGTGTTTATATAATAGTGATTGGTTTAATAACATTTTTTGTGAAAAAGAGAAAGTTTCAGTGATAGCTTGGATATGTCATAATTTAATCTTAGTAAAAAAAGGTAATCCACCTATACAGCTAAATATGTAAAGTGCTGTGCAATGGTCAGAGACACTCATTTGTTTATTTGTTTTGACACTCATTTGTTCATTTGTTTAATTTCCAGGTAAAATGGTCATTAAAGATGCACACTAGCATAGAACATGCAGACAAGATGGTAGCAGAATGTTTAGTTCTCAGTAATTTCTCACCATTACTGAGAACTGATTTATTTAGGTAACTAGCTCAGTCCAAGCTACCTGGGCTTCCAATGAAATCCCTAAAAAGCTTCTAAATTACGCCCAAACACCTGACAAAGTCGTATCTACATTACAACTGGTAAACTCAGGATCCTTTAGATGCATCAGTATAAGAGATGTGACGTATACTGCAACCATTAATCAGTTTTTAGTTGCAGCTTTACACTGGCGACAGTTGTACATCAAGCTTACTGCCTCTGGCCTCTGTGTGGATTGTACCTAGTGAACACTTGTGTCTGCACTTCAAGAAAAGGACGCTTATATAAATAATTCATAGGTTCATGTAGTCTTGTGAGGCTTAACCTGATCTAATAACACAGATGTCAGGACAACTATGAGAAATTTTATGGGATGGATGTACACTTATTAAGTTGAGAACAAACTAATCCAACACTTTGTGAAGCTGGAGCTCAAAGTAGGGGGTGATGGTGCACTCGTCAACATTGTCCAATGAACAACAAGCCTGGCAGTAGCCCAAGGAGATAACATAAGATAGATTGGCTGAAAATTTCCCTCCAAAACTACAATCAACCACTTAAAATCCCTTTGCTTATTATTCAATAACTACAGGGACTTCAGTGCAAACTGCTGTACTGGTTTACATAAAAAGCTGCATGGACAATGTCACAACAAAACAAATTTGTGTCTTTCCCAACAATAAGCCAAGGATGACAAGGAATGTTCGACTCCTGTTAGCCCGCAACAAGGCTTTTCATCTGGGTAACAAACAGCGATATAGTGCAGCCAGGTTGGACCTGAAGAGGGACATCAAAGATGCCAAAGCAGCCTACAAGCGGAAAATTGAGAGCCACTTTGACAACTCAGGCCCCGCTGTGCAAGGTATACGTCACATCACCAAACAAAACAATAATACCAACCCAGCCACCAAAAGCAGCAGTTTCTTACTGGTGGAGCAGCTTAACAGTTTCTTTGGTCAGAGTGGGACCAGAGGATGACAGAATAATTTGGTACATTTTCCCGCCTTGCTCAAGTGCCCTCTAGGCGATTGCCTAGTTCGCCTTTATGGTTGCACCAGCCCTCATTTGAATTCTTTACGCTGTGATGTCAACTCATCAGGAAAACACAAAATACCATTACTGACTATCAATTATATATATAATGTTTAATGCAGTTTGCTTTATGAGCTGCCTTACATTGTGTGATTAGCACATTATGGTGACAGTTTTGGTTTTTGGTTAAATATTATTTTCAACACCAGTTTTGGAAACACCTGTTTTTTCACTTATTTTCATTTGACTCTCCCCTTCTTTCTGCAGTTGGTTATCTTATATCTAATATCTTCAGAAATAATTCCTGAAAATGAATACATTGTAATTAATGACTGTTTTGACTAGTAATTAATTAAATAAGCACAATACTGTATGCGAGGATCCATGTAGAAGAAGGATTTTTGAGAATAGCTTTTATCCATTGAATGTGTGGTGTTCAGTGTAGAAATGTGTGACATTCTTCATAATATAATGTATTTTGTTCTTCCAGATCAACTGAAATAAAAGTTTGTCCATTTTATTTTAGCATTCTTCAGGAACATCTAAATGCAGTCCTTCCACTTTTGATATAAGGATTCATTCAGTTACAGAAAGTTCTCTGTTTAGCCAAAGGTTAAGTCTCTGTTCCACTGAAGTAATTATACCAAAAACCTTGCTCTAAGGTTTTACTTAGAACAAGGATGTTACATATCATGTGTCTGTTTAAGTTTTGGTTGATAGGGTTCACACTTTCAAATGTTGATGCCAAGAACGTTTATGCTGCATCATATTCATATTGATAGTTTGTTTCTTATATTATGCTGATGTGCTAATACTGGTCACGAACATTGATATTTCTATATGTCGTCCATTATGCATCGATATTTCCTCTGTATTATGCACTTGTTTATTTTCATCTTATCTAAATAAAGTGGAATATGAACTAACATGAAGCATGTCATCAACAAAATCAAGGGGAAAAACTAGCAACTCTCTTGGTAGAAAAAGGTCAGAGACCCATGATGTAAGGTAAAAACAAGCTAAAATCAAGTAAGGTAAAATGAAAAATATAAATAAAAACAAAAAAAAACAACACAGACAAGACCTTGAATCTTCTGTATATTTTAGTGCATGAAATTGAGTAGATCCAAGCAGTTTTGGTTCATTAAAAGTCTATAGATTTTTAAACCAACTCTGAATATTTATGTTACATTTCAATGTGAAAATACAACAGAAACATTTCACAAACAAAAAAAATGCCTAGACCAAAAAAAGCCTAGATTTATTTCAGGATTTAAAGCTAAAGGTGATTATAATCTTGTAAATGATTAACTCAAACAATTTGTGCTTCACTATATCGGGGAAGATGAAGGCCACTTCATATGATGTGACGTATACAGGATTTCAATTGCTACATACTTTTGTAGTCTATTGAATCATTCAAGTTTAATGACTGGACTTGAACACATGATGGCACTATAGGGGTACTGTAAACTCTGTACAGATAGAATCAGCAAGGAACCACCCATAAAAACAGGCATGGATAGTACAATTACCAATATGAATGACACCTTTTACATACTATCGCAAATGTAACCCCTTATATAATACATTTATCGTGTGATTTTACATATCCTGTACTTTCACCCCTGGAATAGTAACAGCCATTAAAGCATATTATAGCTACATATGTTTACCGCAACACATTTTTGGTGATTCCTGCTTAGGACTTCAGTGCAGTGTAGGACATATCTTATCTGCCTCAGAGCACATTATCCTGTTGTATTGGTCAAGAAATGCAATTTATAACCTAATCCAGATATCAATGTCATATGCCTGTAGCTTGAGATCAATATTTCATATTAATTTTTCAAGGCCATTGGCCAAACATTAAAAAAATGTTTATGGGGATGTAGCAATCCAATTATTTAAACTCAACAAGCCTTTTAGCTACAATTTAGAGAACTGTGTAGTGCCAGGCATTGCATCTTCTCGTTTCTGGTTTTAGGGCCCAGTTCTCTGGGTTCCTGGTTAGTAGTAGTGGTCCACGCTTTTGAAAGGCAAACAAATTGCAGCTGTGCACTGGGACAGTTGTTTTGTTTAAATATACTTCCACCATAAATAAGTGGCAAAAGGCTGAGATGGGTAATGCATGAACTCATTTTTGCATCTTTCTGGGCGTGGACAATCAGTCAATCAATAAATTAATAAATAACTGCTTCATATTGGAAAGAGATCAAATGTTTTACATGACACCTTTTGACTGTCTTTCAAGGTTTACCTTTTCTGTAATACCTTAGAATATGTTTTAGCAACCAGCCCATGATTTGATCCTAGTAAAAGTAAAACTATGAAAACAGTTTGATTACGAATGTAGCCTGTTAGCATGAAGGACGTAGACTAGGCCTGCGCCTGCACGCTTACACACTTTTCCCAGCAAACAGTTCTTCGTATAACACCGGAACTGTGATGTCCAGACAGGGAAAACCGTGCTATCTGCTCCTGGTGTATATATTTATTTATTTTGTTCCACAAAGTTCTCCGCAATGTCTCGCTGGATTCCAACCAAAAAGGAGAAATATGGAGTTGGTAAGTCTTGGTAAAACTGTTATTCTGTTGTTGTGTTGAGGTATGTTTGTGTTTTACACACCCCTCGCCAATTCGCACGGGACCTGCTCAACAGTTAAGCAAGAAAGTCTAACTACATATTAAGTCACTTCTCTCGTGTTTTCACCCCGTTGTGACACCTTGTTGAATTAGTTGGCGGCAACACAAATAAAAATACGGCGAAATTTGTAGCAGTGAAAGGACAGATGATTATAAAACAAAGTCTTGGCTGACAGAAGCTTTCCATTGGTCACCGGTCAGCATTTTAGACCATTATTGCTTTTGATCGATACAACCGCTGAAAGGATTTTAAAATTCTATAGGGTTTAGCTGAAGATAGAAACCGTTTGTCCGCTGTTGTCAATTATGGATCCAGGTCTACATAGGCTTAAATTATGTGACACAGAGACTACACTGACTATTACTTTTGATTTGTCCTGCACTTGTGTAAATCACCGTTATATAAAAAGCCTAAAAAGCAGTGGCATGCTAACGTGTGGCGGTATGCAAATAAAATGGCCAGCCTGTGTTGTACAGTTTAAACACCAAGAGTTATTAATCAAATCTTTAACTGATCTCGTTTGAAGAGTAATATTAAACACCCATTGGCCTGTAGGTCTAATTAAACTTGCTTGCTACACTGCAAGAACAACTCTGGGCAGTATAATCAGGTTGTGTCTTGTATATCATAAACATTAACATTTACAATACATTAAACTCCATCTGACAAAAATGCAGCTTCAATGATCATTCAGATGGTCAGTTTAAGCATTCAATAATCGTTCAATCGTTCAAATGGCCAGTTTAATCTCTCGCGTGTATGTTCTTTGCTGGAACGTCCTTAAAGGCATTGTAATCTGTTTATTTAAGTATCAAACATTATTCAGCCTTAGCTATTTCTGACGCCAAGTGTTAATACTATTTGAAGGTCTTTTGTTGTTGATGAGGTAATGTTGGGAAAAGTTTTCACATTTGAGTGTCAGTTTTAACATGTAGTGCCTCAAATATGTCGTGTGCACAATCTAGCAAAACACAGAACAAAACTTTGTTATACCTATGAAAGTTGCTCATTGTCTGTTGTTACAAAGTAGTCTAGGTGGCATGTCAGTGTTTGACAAATTATGTTGAACTAGCTCCAGATTTTTAAGTACAGTTATCTGTTTTTGGAAGCTGTCTGGAGCTTTTTGTTAATATTGAAGAAGAATAGGTGTTTGGTTTGTAATGCTTGCATGCAGTAAGAAAACAGGCAGTCAAGCCTGTAATAAAGACTGCAGGCCAAATGTATCATCATGGACCCCAGGTTTCATATTACACACTACCTTATTAACACCCAGAAGGCTGACAGAGAAGGCTCTGCGTGAGAGCATTCTGGATTTGCTCAGTCTGTCAAGATTCTGGAAGGGGAGCTACACTTGTGTACCTTACCTGCCAGTGCTTTTGTAGTTAACAGATGGATCCTTCTGCCACCATGGCCCATTTGGCACACACAGAATCACACACTTTTGTCTAGTTTGTGAAGGTTGTAGTCTAGACATAGACACTTTACTTCACAGTCTGGGTGGACAGACCGTAGTCATTTCTCTCTCGGTTTGCTTCTAACAGTTTGCTTCTGATGATATTTCTGGAGTAAGTGATTGACAGAAGCATGACAGCATTTTGCAGCTTATATAGGCTGCTTCATCTCTGAATGAGCAAACTGTCAGTCAGAAGATGAGGAGGTTTTTTTTCTCCTTAATGGTTGGGTGTTTTAGAAGGAGCTTTGCACAGCATAGCCTGAGGTGTCTGAATCTGTTTCTCCTTCTTTTGCCACTCCTCTTGAAGACCTAGATTTGCATGGGTGTGGATACCGGAAAGGTAGCCATTTTGTCCACCTTCTGTGTAAATGATTAAGCTGAACCTGGTCAATATGGCCAGGTTTATAAGGCAACTCAAACCCTTTAAATGATGGCTAATAAAGTGACAAAGAAAAAATGTTTGTGATTTGGTCTGTGTATTTTCAGTTTTTTTATTACCTATAACATATATGTGTGTGTGACCAGAGGCGTGAAGTTCATTGGTATTAAGGAGGAGTGCAACAGCCTAATGAGTGAAAGCTTCCTGCCAGGAGTAGGGATCAGAGTGGAGCATGCCTGGACAAAGCCTCAATTATTTCTGGTTTAGGTAAAGGAGATGTGGAGTTAATGTAGTTCACTCAATTGTAATGTTGTATTATGTTTGTTTTATGTTTATATTAAATGTCTTTCGTACGGTATAGAAGATATTCTAATGTACACTTATCTGGGGTCTGTTATTTTTTGGTGTGTTTTTGTGTGCTTTTTTTCTGTTTAGGTTTTGTGTGTGTGTGTGTGTGTTGTGTTTCTATGCAAGTGTGCTCACATATTTTATATTTTACATTGTGGAGAGATCAGCATTCTATGATTCTACTTTAGAGTGAGAATGAGAAGAAAGGTTAATCTCTTTAACCACTAAGTGCCGAAATAGAACATACTCTTCAGTAAAATGAAGGGAACAGTAAACAAAGCACTTAGTTTGTTCTTGAGTTAGATAACACCTCTTGCCTATAGCCTCTAGTAGTAACATAGATATGAACTGGTGATAGAAACTGGAATGAATCAAATTGAAAGTAGGAGTGGGTGTTATGACTAAACATAATATCGCCATATTTGAACACATGTTTACAATACACTATGTATTACATTTACAATGATTTTCATTCTATGTTTCACATACTGTGCTCCACTAAAATGAAGAATATCTTTTTCATGAAACATGCAGTTGATCTGTGTTCTTTACATACTAACAGTCACTATATGTTTAGAAAAGTTATCATATTGTAATTTGTTGTGATAACAGTGTCATGTTGTCACATCACTTATCCATTTATTGTAAGCATTTCACTGAGTTCAGCACATGTTGCACCCAGATAAGAATGTGGAATGTAGGTGTAGGCACGTTCTCTTTGCTTTGCTCTCATATTCCCATGTTTAGTCAATAACAAATTAATGGTTGCAAAAAAACTTTTTTTTATTGTACTGCTTGCTCACTGTGTCTTTCTGGGTTTTTCCATCTAGCTATCTATAACTATGATGCAAAGGGGGAGAAGGAGCTGTGCCTACAGGTGGGGGACTCTGTGCACATACTTGAGATGTTTGAAGGTGAGTGTCAAGCTTGAACATGTCCTGATGGATCTGTTTGCATCCATGTTAAATGTGATACCGCAGTCTAAAGTACTGAGTAATATCCTGGATTTCAACTGTAGATTTACAACATGGAGCTTTCATATAAGTTGAATGTGACCATAAGGTTTAAAGTCTGCATTGTTCATGTTATTAGATGGTGTTTTTTCTTTTTTATTTTTTACTGCTACGATTGCTCATTCAAGTGTTATTTTGGGCTCATATACTGATAAACATTTAATCTCACTTGGAAATGGTGACTTGTAGCAATGATTTTTAGAGTTCTTTAAAGTCATTATTCTTTACTGGTTGTGCTAAAACCTCAGCTGAGCATATAATTTGATTTCTTACTTGCTTGATTGATTTTTTTTTTTTCATTTATCCCAATGGGTAAATTTGAATGCATGTGGTCATATTGATATATTATTATAATATTGTTAAAGGAAAGGTAATCTGTTATCCATAAAGTCAGATGTCTTATTTAAGAGTAGTAGTTGTCCTTTTTTCCTTTTACAGTAGTAATACAGTAATTCACTGTATTTCTGAGTAGCTGGCTGATGAGTTGAATCATGTGTGATGGAGCAGGGAAACAGGCAAATGCTGAAAATTGCAAGGGTGTTCCTGCACCTGACATCATGTTCTCTTACTGTTAATATTCTCTTACGGAGAAATGATAATGTGCACTTGTCTTTTTTGGGGTATGGACAAGGAGTTGAAAAGGTTTCACAGTGATGTTGAGACTGTGGCAGTCAGTGCTGCTACCTGTTTACGAAGTTAACCCACGCCATGAAGGATGCCTGTAATTGCGGTTTTCCAAACCTTGTTTTTCTATGCTTGTGCTCCACCCAGCGTGAAGTAAGAACTGGAATGCACAATACTAAGCAGTGTTTTCCTCCATTCTCCATTGTATTCGTTCATTATCAACAATTTCGGTACTCACTTTTGGTTGCCAGGCCTTTGAACTCAGACGTCTTAGTTTCAGGCGTTATTTCTCTTTTTTCCGCCAAAAAATTTTCACACAAGTCCCTAGAGTAGTAACCTGACTTTAGTTTGATAAGGTAATACAGCTAATGTTTCCAGTAAAGCCAGCAATAGTAACTCCAAAACCTGTACATCCATTATATACATATTTATATACATATATAATGGCCAAAAGTCACCTACACATTACACAGCTTTTATGACATCCGGTTCTAAATTCATAGGCATTAATATAGAGTTAGTAACAGCTTCTGAGCCTCAGGACCAGGCAACCCTGCTCTGTAACTTTACATGGTCTGCCACTTTGTGGTCTGAGTTGCCGTGGTTCCTAAACCTTTCCACTTTTCAGTGGTACGGTGGCATCCATACAGTACCATGCTTGAATTCATCCTGCCCTATATAAATACATACATACACACACACACAAACATACATATATATATATATATATATATATATATATATATATATATATATATATATATATATATATATATCTCACACACAGTGGTGGATGAAGTACACAAATCATGTACTTGAGTTAAAGTAGAGATACCCAAGGTAAAATATTACTCCAGTAAAAGCAGAAGTCCTCCCTTAAGACCTCCACTTGAGTAAAAGTACAAAAGTATTCTCCTTCAAATGTACTTAAGTATCAAAATTAAAAGTACTAAAAGATTAATTATGACTTTAATTTTTTGGATTTACATTTTTGTAAGAAGACCCTTGCCTTATTAACTCATTATTGGTGAAAATACTCTAGTGTCACTCTTGGCAAACCAATCTTTTAATAGAATAGCATTAATTAGTCTGTCACTGATATCTATTAAAATAATCATAAACACAAAACACTAAAGGCAAACAATTTCCATTAGGTAGAACCAAGTGGCTATGAAATAACTTTTTGCAAGCAAGCAAAGTTTCAGTTTAAGATTTATTTGCAACTTAGTTACAAGTTTAAGTTTAATAAAAACTTGCTTTAAACACAGGTTCACAACTGTGTTTTCCTTTACTATATTGCATCTGTAAGTTCATAAACATAAACTAACAAAAACAAATTTACTATAACATGAAAAAGTGTTTGTATAAATTCAGATAAAAGAAGCATGCCAGTGACAAGTGCATATGTGTACATATTTCTATATTGTGGTCTATTTACACAAAGTTAGGTTAGTTCCATCATTTATGTTGGCATAGGCACTCCCAAAATTTTACGCTGCTGCACTGACGTTGAAACATACAACGGCGTTTTAGGGCCACTGTTAATAAAAATAAAAATAGTAGACTCTGAGAATATAGTTGTAATATTTAGAGAAAAAAAGTCGTAAAATTACGACATTAAAGTGGCATTAATACCAGGAAAGGTCGCAATATTGTGGCCAAATCTCCATACCATCCAAAGAGGGCATGAAGTTTCACAGACAATGAGAATGATAATCAAAATGATCGATCCACAAAGAGACAAGAGTGTGTGGAACTCTGGCGCCAGTACAGCAACCCAGAGACCCCAACGCATTATGGCAGCCCCCCAGTTAGCCCGCTTTATCCTCCAAATATTACGACTTTATTCTCAAAATTTTACAAATTATTTCTCTAAATATTACGACTTCTTTCTCAAAATAGTATGATTTTTTTCTCTAAATATTGCGACTTTGTTCTCGAAGTCTACTATTTTTATTTTTATCAACAGTGGCCCTAAAACGCCATCGTGGAACCGTATGCTTGCACTAGGTAGGTATGTCCAACAGGTCAAAACAAGCTCAAAACAAAGTGTGCGCTGTACCCCGATTGGTGTGCTTGCTTCACGCTTCTTTCGTTTTGAGTTTGAAAAATGTTAACATAACACATAAGCCTAAAGGAACGACAGATTTTGCATAATGTAGTGGTGTAAAAAGTAAGATATTTGACTTTGAAATGTAGTGGAGTGAAGGTAAAAAGTCACCAAAAATGGAAATACTTCAGTACAGATACATGGAAGAATTACATTTACTTCGTTACTGTCCACCACAGTGTGTGTGTGTGTGTGTGTGTGTATATGTGTGTATGTATGTAACGATAATAATAACGATAATTATCGCGATATAACTTTTCCTCGATAGAGCGATAAGAAAGGTTCGATAAAGTTTCGATATAATACTCCATTCTCACACTTCCACCTTCTAGCGAAAACCCTGGTGGCGTTTTCTACTGCAAAGAAAGCAACACCACTCTGCTGTCGCCAGGAGAGGGCGCACTTCCGAGTTTTTCGACATGATTAGAGAGGGAGGGGCGACGAGTGAGTCTTTAGTAACGTCTGAAACGCGGAGTTATAAATTCCATGTTTGAGTGGAGCGACCGGCAATCTGTTTTCCTGTGACCAAGTGTGAGTGACGAGATCAGTGGTGTAACTGTACTGTCCTACAGTGAACTCACCTCTTTACTAACATTCTAACAAGCTTTAGCAGCGTTAAATCACATCTGCTCCTCTCAACTAAAGCGCTGTTACAGCGCTCAAAAAGTCATATTTTAGTATTAGTGCATTTCCAAGCAACGAAAGTGAAAGGAAGAAGTGGGTTCATGCAAGTTACAGCCCTGATTTAACGAAAATAAACTGAGGAAGATGTGAGGCATTGGAAAGCAGGAGAGCGCTGTCTTTCCAGGCTAGCTGTTTTTTAGCAGATGGTTAACTTGAAGCAGCGCTCCGTCACTCACACAACACGGCGAATGGATGATACTGTACATCAAACAAGACACAGAAGCACCGCTTTCAGTTTAAACATACTTAAAAGGACGACTCCGTTTGTCTGGTGTTAGAATAGAGAAACCCAGTCGTCGCTAGCTGGTATTTGAATACTGTGATGTGCTCTGACATGGATGTGGCAGGAGTGCCTGCAGTAAGGCGGTGTGATCCATGTACCGAGTCAGCTAATGTTCGCTGTTCGTACTAAACTGACATTGTTGAGAAACTAAACAGTTGTTTAGCATTTGTAATGGGATAGCCGAGCATCTGTTTTCTTTCTTAAATTATGAATATTACAAAAACTGCGGCTGTGCTTTTCCAGCTGATAAAAACAGCTGGCCAGACACTTCCTCCCACTGTCCCATGACAGATTTGTGAAATATCCCACTGTTTGCCGAGTGTTTGTCATGTTCCGACCATAACGGATAGTTTAAAACAGCAATTAACCAGCCAGGAGCAAAAATCAGCCTTCAAACTTGAAAGAAATAATGATTTGACATTTATCGCGATATGTATCGATATCGAACGATATGAAATTTTGTTTATCGTGATAACATTTTTGGCCATATATATATATATATATACATATATATATATATATATAAATAAATGTGTGTATGTATAGATCTATATCTGTGTGTGTGTGTGTGTGTGTGTGTATATATGTATATATATATATATATATATATATATATATATATATATATATATATATATATATATATATATATATATGAAATGAACTGGCTTAAAGCAGCAATATACATTTCTCAGAATTGACAGTGGCATTAACGTGACTTATAAGGCATTCACTTGAATTTACTGATACCTACAGATACTGCTCTCTCGGAGTATGAAACGCAACCTGATTTACACAGTTTTTATTGTTAAATAAATACAAAAACAAATAAAAGATTACTCAATCATCAAAATAATCCACAGATTTCTCAGTTACTAATATAATCAATAGCAACAGCCATAAAATTAATCATAGTAGTGAAATAAATCTCTGTGAACTATTTACAGTGAACGTCCTTTAGTGCAACAGAGTAATGACATCTTTTTAGAGTCGTTTTCTAATAACACCCCCCACCCACCCCCCCCAATCTCTGTCTGTCTTTCTCTTTCTCACATTTTGTCAGGGTGGTACCGAGGATACACTCTACGGCAGAAATCACAAAAGGTGTTGTGTTTAATTATATTTTTGTGATAAACATAAGATCAATAAATATTAGATAAGCGATTAATAACAATGGTGAAGTGTAGGTGTTTAGTGCTTATGTGTTCTGTTTCATGTCAAAGGGCATTTTCCCAGCCACCTATATCCACTTGAAAGAAGCTAAAGTTGAAGGGACAGGGTAAGACATAATGACATAAAGTTTCCTTTTGGACAACAGTGCATTTGGTGCTGCTTAACTGTTTCTTGTTTCACACTGACTTGTTCTTCAGCTAAATAAGGTTCACTGAGAGAAATTATTTCTGCTAGTCATTGCTAACCTGTTTTAAAAATCCAGTTTGTCTTTACATTTAACATTATGTCTATATCATTTATACCATATCTGAACCATATCCATTTCTTTCTCTATATAGAAAAAAGGAGACAGTAATACCTACGGATTTGCCCCTGGTACAGGAACTGGGTGCTACCCTAAGAGAATGGGCACAATTATGGCACAGTCTTTATGTGGTAATGTGGATATGTCTTCATTTTGTTGTAACTTGTTTTCCGTAACATTTTCCTCAGTTTTAACACTGATTTTAACCATGAATTCTTGACCTATGTTTGGTATAACAATCAACAAAGACAAACACCATTGGCAATGTTTTGTAAAATGTGCTATCATTTTCACACTTGTTTCTACAACAGAACAATAAGACCACACTGTTCCGGAGTGTTCAGCAGATGGCCTACAGTCTGATTGAATATCGCTCACAGATTGTGTCAGGAACACTTCCCAAGGATGACCTCGTAGAGCTCAAGAAAAAAGTCACAGCAAAAATTGATTATGGAAACAGGTATTATGTCACTTCTCCAAAAGTCTTTGAGCACCCCTCCAAAGACTTCACAGTGGTGTTTCCAGCCTGTCATGACTTTCAGATTTACAATCATTGTTATGTTTCAGCTGGTTTTTTACATTTTTTTATTTTAACCCAATTTTCTCCCCAATTTAGTCGTCTCCAATTCCACCCGCTAGTTAGGACTCCCCCGATCACACGATACTATCAATGCTAGGAGGGCGAGGCTTGCGTTGAATAGCATCACGTTAAGTGATGGGGGGAGAAGGAGGGGCCATCCTACCTACCCAGAGAGAGCGAGGCCAATTGTGCTCTCTTGGACTCCTGGCTACTGGTGGCTGTAGCATCACCAGGGATCGAACTCGCGATCTCCTGATGATAGGGCCAATGCTTAGACAGTTGCGCCACTCGGGAGCCCATTTCAGCAGTTCTTGACATGAGATAAACAATGTAGTATGCAGTACATAAATTGCTGAATGTTAGCTTTAATTCAAAAGTGTTTACGTTCAAATTAGATGAACCATGCAGGAATATCCATTTTTATACCTTTAGTATTTGGTTGTAAATCCTTTGCATTTGATGACTCAGTCTGCAACCATAGACCCTGTATCTCCCCTGGTGATACCAAATCTATTATGTAAACATTTTCACTTCTTTTAGGGCGTTTTCACACCCGAAAGTCCGGGTCAAGGTTCGAACCGAGGTTCATATTTTTGTTACATAAAATTTGATAAATTTGATCCATGTAGTTTTGGGTTCACATTGCAATTTATCGAGCATACTAAAGAACTTTGCATGACACACCACGCATCTGACGCTGGCGTATTTCCAATTCAGCAGGTAGCCTTTTCCGTTTCAATGGAGAAAAATTAATATCGTCTCTCTCACCACTCAGAAAATAGGAATAGAATTCGATATTTTTATGCATTTTTTATTTTTTTTTTCTTTTAAGCAAAATACTTTTGGACCCAATGAAATGATTTTAAATATACACTTTAATATTTCATCTCCTCCTCTGCCCATGTGCTACCCCTGCTCATTTTACTTCTCTCCCGGTTCTTTTTCTTCTTCTATTGTTTAACGGGTGATGATAACTTGCCTCAACTTTCTGTAATTGGTGCAAAAGACTGAACCATCCAAAAAAGTGTTTTCACACTGCAGATGAACCAAATCTGGTTTAGTTTGATCTGGACTGAGACCACCTCTTTTGGTCGGACCAAATTGTGGACCTTTGGTCTGGGCCATGGTCCTAGACACCTCTCACACCTCTTTTTTTGGTTCGGACCAAACAAGGTAGGTATGAAAGCATCCTTAATGTATCTGTGTTTACATCCTGTAGTGTTTTTGGTTTGTTCAACAGTAGGAGTCAACCCACTAAGTATATCCTTTGGTCATCAGATAAGTTGGCCTGCCAGATATTTGCTATTGTACTTTTGCATTCTTACTTCTTAACAAAATACCAGATCATAGTTTTTGTCAAACCTAATATTTTAACTACATTACCATTCAGAATTCATTTGTTGTTTCAGTAATTGCTATTTTGTTCATTAATACCTTACAGAGTGTAGATTGAAATAGGCACCAGAAAGTATTTTTAGATGTTTTATTCAGTGTTTCAAGATTTTAGGAAAAACAAATTAGATATGTGAATGATAATGTGATTACCCGCCTTAAGATTGCCAGTTCTCAAATATAAAGTATTCTGGATATTAATTTTATTCTGACTTGAATCTCAGTCTTATATACAGCTTTCTTTATTATCATTCATGTATCAGCTTTATTTTGGACACATCTAAAATTTCTTCTTACAAATTATTTGAAACCTATGAAGTTGTAGAGTAGTAGCATGATATTAGAATTTTATCGGCAACAAAATTAGTTTTATATGATTAAATCAATGAATCAAAATGTTTGTTTGATGATTCCAAACCTTTGAATGGTAGTTTCTCTGAAAGATTTATTATTTATGATCAGCCTCATGGAGGCCTTCTTTATTGGTGCTCACACTCTTTTAGTTGTGTTAAGAGATATTGGCAATAATGACAGTAGGATCAGCTGTAGGCCTTTTGTTATTCATCTTGCGCATATACTAACAATGCATCCACACACAACTGGCCAAGAGACAATGGAGCAAATTATATTACTATTCACCCCCCAAACCAAGAGGACTACATATGAAAAGTAACACCACACAAAAAGTTACACACTGTCTAGTATTTTTGTACTTCTTTGCATTGTTTCACCTCTGTTCACATAGAAAAGAAGTATAAAACAAAGGCTGAATGATGTATACACTTTTAGAATAAGGCTAATTTTTCTTAAAATTCACATGCTTCAATATTGTTACTTTTTGCTATTGTAGTTTTTTAATGCTTAACTAGTATTAAATATGTTTCTGCTGTTCTGCTGTTGTACAGGATCCTGGGGCTGGACTTGGTGGTTCGTGATGAGGCTGGGAACACATTAGAGCCAGAATGCACCAGTACAGTCAGTTTATTCAGAGCCCATGAGTCTGCTTCCCGCAGTATTGATGAGCGGATACAGGAAGAGAAGGTTTTTTTTAGTTATTTTTATTCTAGATTTTTTTCTGTTGTTATTTTTCAAGCTTTACAGAAAGAAAATCTTAGACCTTATGCCAGCTTATTGAGTTCTTTTGCAGTGCAGAGCATCCAAAAACATTCTGTTTTAGACTGATGTGATAGAAAAGAGAAAGATGTTATTCCAGAATATGAAATGTATATACATAATATACACTATATCCACTTGATGGAGACAAATGTAAACAATTTCACAGCAGACCTGTAGTACATCAAGATATTTTTGTGAACACCTATAATACTAGCCATGACTCAGTAGACCTTTGTTTACACATGATTATTTTCAAGATGTTTAAAGTGTGATTATGCATGTTTAAAGGTTTACAAGAGTCACAAACAGCATTTTAGTAAAGCTTTTGGGGTGGGCAATATTACAAAATTTTATTTTTATTGTGATAAATTATGTGACAATACACTGTAGACTGTTTCATTCATCGGTTTAATTATTATTATTATCATTATTATTATTATAGTATTTTTACATGTGGCATTACAGGTTCTATTATGTCTATTGCAACTTACTAAATCTTGAATTGAAATTATCTTGCTTTAATGTTTTTGCCATATCGCCCATCACCCAGTAAAGCTTAAGTCAGGATTGAGTTTCTTCTCTACAACACTAGTATGTTTTAACTCTTAAATCTTACTTAAATACAATTTACTTGCTGTTTAGACCTTAAGGTAAGGTATTTCAGAAATGTGAATAAAAATCAGATTTGCATTTCTAAATGAAACTTTACTTGAGCAATCTCTATGAACAAAAGTGCTGAACACAATTGTGCCTTCTCTGGTCCTCTCCAGACACGTCTCCAGAACCTTGCCATGCGTCGACAGTCTCTCTTTAGTACAGCACACACCTATAGCCTCCTTATGAACCTCAAGAACTTTGTCTGCAACATTGGTGAAGATGCAGAGCTGCTTGTGTCCCTCTATGACCCAGACCAGTCTGAGTTCATCAGGTCAGAACCATTCTGAGCAAAAATTCTGTGCTTTTACAGGAATAACTTTTAGAATGGGGAATTCTTAGAGTACTGCCTCAACTAACGGCTGCAGTTAAGGAATTCTTGGCTGATTTATTAATTTTCTCTTCATAAAAAAAATATTTAAGCCTATATATGTTGTGCACCATCTCTGCACCACATATCCATAAATATTGTTGCTATGTTTGCACAGTGCTGATGATAATACTAGATATTGAGAGAAATTGCCTTGAGTGATAATTGACTTGTATGCTAATGCATGAAAAGAAGTTTTTTCTTTTATGGTGTGTGGTTGGGGGCTGTTTGTGTTTATTGTATTTTTTGTGTGAACTGGTTCATTGTGTCTTGTGTCCTTTGTTATCATTGCTTCTTCTGTTCTTTCTGTTGTTGTCTGCATAGCTGTTTTGTGTGAAATAGCCTTGTAATGTCACAGTTACTTGTGATATTTGCCCTTGTTACATAAAAGGATACTCTGTTCTGAGAAAGGTTCTAGAAGGGGCAAATTCCAGGCTTCTGAGTGGACTAAATAGCATATGCAATGTGCGGTCATGCTTCAAACTTGATTTAAAAATACAAGAACATTGTAGGTTTTATGGTCTTTTTCTGCTTGACTTTCTCAGTGAAAATTTCCTGGTACGGTGGGACAGTAAAGGCATGCCTAAAGAGATTGAAAAACTCAACAACCTGCCAGCACTTTTTACGGTAATGCATATTCTTCTAATCTCATGTACCCTCTATATAGAAAAATTGTGGTACATGACAGACTTTGCGTCATAGGTTCAGATGGTATAGTTTCATTTGCACATAACTATAAGAGAAAAAAAGTTTATGCATATGAATAGAGTCAGACAAAGTGTCTTATGAATATTGTGCACAGTTTTAGGTTAATTTAGGTTATTTTGTGTTATTCTGTGTCATGAGTTGAGTTGTTCCTCTGTTATCTCCTTTTGTGAAGGACCTTAGCAGCAGCGATCTGATCAGGCCCCATCTGTTCCTGGTGTGTCAGATCATCCGAGTTGGCTGCATGGAGCTAAAAGAAGGCAAGAAGCACACTGGTGGTCTGCGGAGGCCTTTTGGAGTAGCAGGTCATACATTCACTTTTCTAACTGCACAATGATCTAAATGTACAAAATGCTCTTTAAGTTCCAACTGTTTTCATTCTACCTGAGAAGTCAACCACAAAGGACATGTTCAAGTCATGTGGATGTTACATACCAAGCTAAACATTACAAAATATTAGTTTACCTTTAGGACATGTTTTTTGCATATTGGTCATGCATTGGTTTTTTGCATATTAGTTGTGTCTGTTTGGTGACCAAATTGGCACGAATTGTAATTACTAATGCAACTTTAAATTGCCAGCCCATGGAAGGTTCTAAAGCATATAGTGGACATGTTTGTTAATTTGAATTCAGGAGTGCTTGTTGAAGTGAAATTATTTTTTTTTCTGTGGTGATAAGTGCTGTGTCTTTTTAAGAAAAATAAACAGCCCCACCTCCTATGCTTGAAAGGCTAATGGACCATAGCACAGTTTAGAGAACCTTTTTGAGGCTTCAGGTCTTCCATCATTGCCAGGTCACTTTCGGTCTACTTTGAGCAAAGCTTTTGTGGAAACTTACTGTTAGTTTTGTGTTTGTGGTTTTAGTAGTAAACAGGTTGCACACTTATGTAAAGTGCCTTGTATTTTCTGTCTTTGAATCATTTTAACTGAAGGTTTAGCTTGAGCCTGGCTTGATGCAGCATTTTTTGCTTTCTTCTAACGAAAAAAAATAGAGGAATATTTCAATACATCATTGTCAGCAGCATCAGTTTCTTGATACACAGGGCTAGTCATGGACTACTAGGCATTTTTAACAGATGATTCTGTAATACTGTTTTTCCTGTTTCTGTATGTGTCATTATGTTGCTTGTGGTATTCATCAGTCCTGTGTCAGCAAAATAGCTTAAGCATTTTGCTAACATCCATAATTATTAGTAAATGTTTTTTTAGGGCTTTTGTTATAAAATATTATTTATACCTCAAATGTGGTTAATTGGCTCTTATGTGAGTATTATGCCCACAGTGATGGATATCACAGACATTTCTCATGGGAAAGTAGATGATGAAGAGAAGCAGCATTTCATCCCCTTTCAGCAGTGAGTGTCTGCACTACCTTCAACCACATTTGTTAACATATTGTCATTTAAGATTGAGACTAAACCTTTCTGAACTCAGAGAATTGTTCTTTGCTTTATGCATGTTCACTCCTTAGGTTATAAAGTGTTTGCTCTAAATTAGTCCATTTCCCTGGTATTGCTAATTCTATCAAAGCCATTGTCCTTGCCTTTCCTTTACTTCAGGATTGCCATGGAAACGTACGTCCGCCAAAGGCAGTTGATCATGTCCCCTCTCATCCCTTCTCGTGTTATTGGAGAAAATGAGCCTCTTACAGCTGTTTTTAACAAAGTCATTGCTACACGAGAGGTCAACCACAAAGGACAGGGTAAAGACAGTGGGCAGATGTTTTAGTAGCTGCATCTATTTTTGTGACTCCCGACAGGTGTGTAATTTGAAGAGATCTAACGGTTCACAACATAAGCACAAATAGTGTGTCTAAGAAAGACTGAGGATAGTCACCAAATGAAAAATGGAAAAACAAGATTACTCTGTTTTAAGGCTGTAGTACCATATAGTACCATATATATGCTTCTTTTTTTGTCTGGACTTTCAGGTCTATTTGTGACCCTAAAGCTCCTCCCGGGAGATCTGTCCCAGGTTCAGAAGGACTATCCTCACTTTGTGGATCGCGCAACAGCCATAGTGAGGAAAATGGGCTTCCCTGAAATCATCCTCCCAGGTTGGTAGGCTCATTTTTAAGTGCTTGAAACAACATGGTTGCTTATCTGTGAGTAACTCACTATTTTTCAGACACCTAAACATCCAACTTTTAATGAACTAGTGTAATGTCATTTGTGTCCACGTCATTCTTCTCGTGTGTCCAGTATAGCTCTTGTGGGTGATACACAATGTGCAATGAATCATATGACTGGAACCAGGTTCTATGTTTTTTTTGACAACAAACACTCAAGATGGATTTGACATTAAAAGAAGGATCGTTATGCAAAAAAGAACCTAATTTTTTGAGGTTTTGGGCTGTTTTTCCTCCCAAATGAATGAAATGAAATGAGCTGAATAGGACAGTCCAAAAGATAGGACCTAGGACCATAGAGGATCTGGAGAGATTTCTGTATTGAGTAGTTGTCTAAAATGTATGTGTGTGTGTGTGTATACATGTGTGGATTTTCCTTAACTAAATTTATTTTAATTAAAGGTTGTTATGATATATATATATATATATATATATATATATATATATATATATACAGGGAGATTCAAAAAAGAGAAAGAAAGAGGCCCTGAATTTTCTGTAATAACTCTCGCTAGGATGAAGCAATGTGAACGAAACAGTGTGCAATGTGCTCCTCAGTATATGGAGCTTCGAAAAAGCCGGGATGCCCCTGCGTCGGAGCAATGAGGTAGGCGCCGTTGTTCAGGCAAGGAACGTTCAGGAACATGGAGCGCTGCATTGAAATGTGTCTGGCAGAAATTGGAGATCACTTCCAGCATCGCATGTAATGCAATTGATTACACATACGTCAAGTTATGTAGCGTATTTATTTGGTTCAGGTTGCTTCATCCTAACGGGAGTTACAACAGAATATTCGGGGCCTTTTTCGAGTTAATCTCCCTATATATATATATATATATATATATATATATATATATATATATACCCACCACAGTATCTTGGGCTGCGGGACTAATTTTCAATGTTGCACGCAGGAGCGGGCAGGAAACCAGCTCACTGTAGGTGGAAGCAGGCCCGGGGATGCATGATGACATATTCCGCAAATTAATGAATAGCCTAAATAAACTAAAAAGATCACCAAATAATATATGTAAACAATATAACATGATAATAGTAAAACAGTTAAAATTAATGAAGTCATTCTAAAGAGTTGTGATGCAACCGATCACGTGAACAACGCGCATCAGTCCAACAGCCACAGCTGCTGAGCCCAGGAAAACACAAAAAATAACCGTTGTGGTTTAACTGCTTTGTGTTTATCAGAAACAAATGGCGTATGGTGAAGTTACTTCACGTTTACATGCAGCCCAATAATCCGTTAATAATCCGACTAATAGCTCAGTCGGAATAGAATACGTCCATGTATACACTTCAATTGGAATAGACGATTGAGGCCATTCAGAATACAGTTTCTATCCGATTGAAAGAGGTGGGTAATCCTGTAAATAATCTGTTACATAGAATAACAATAGCCATGTAAACGCCTGTATCTGATTGCATTTCCAATCGGAACGTGTAAGTACGTTCGCATGTGCGTTCGCGTCATAGCAAAAGCAGACAACTCATAAATCGGCTCTGGCAAAGGTTTATAACGCTCAACATGGCGGGAGCAGAAACTGGTCTGCAGAGGAGATGAAGTTTATGCTTTGAGCTTTAAAAGACGGCGGTGGGACGGGCGTCCAGCTTATGTGTCTCAGAACACAATGTCTTCCTCTCGGCCTTCTTTAATAAGTACATGTGAGGTACATTTTTGAGTCTGACATATTTTTAAAGTAATTAAGAACACAAGCGCGCCAACTGAAAACTCCTCTCACGCTGACTGGACTCACGTGATGTTCGCTGTCATGGTAACGTTTACTCTAAGTGGTACTCCACGCATGCGCGTCATTTTGGATCAGATTACTTGTGCACATGTAAACGAAGACTTTCCATCAGATTGTTTAATAGAGTGTGCATATAAACACCTCAGTCTTAATCTGTAATCGGAATGTATTCAATCGGATTGGCAAAAATCTTTGCATGTGAACATAGTGAGCCTGATGACCATGACTGCTATGTTATTTAAGCAGAGGATAATGTATCTGTGAATAGACTGTCACATATTGGATGTCAGTTCGCCTTGACAGAACTGTGCGGGCAGGAGCGGGCCAAAACATTTTGGTTGCGTGCGGGAGTAGGGAAAAATGGTTTCGGTTTTTCTACGTCAGCAGGATGAAATCTTGCGGGAGTGGGGCTAAAAAAAACAGTCCCATGCAGACCTCTAATTCGAACAAGAATCTCTTGTGTGGGACAGGGAGGTTATCTGCTATGTTATCAAAGTACTTACAAGGCACACCCACATGAACAGCTAAACAACTGTTATCATTAACTATTGTAAAATGTGCTGAGCACTGAACAGTGCTGGCTACTGTGACGGCAAACACAACAAACTTAAATCATCACGTAGCTTTTGAGAACACCGTGTAAAATATTATAAATGTTTGTGACACTGAAGTTCAGTGTTCCGTTAAAGCTGTACTATGTAAGTTTTGTGGATTTGGAGCACTCTCTGGTGTGTAATTGTATGCAACGTGCAACAAAAGCATTTAATGAGGTTGGCCCCTTAACATAAGTCAGATCATTGTGAGCATGTTGAAAGAGTGTTTAAAGAGAACTCTGCCAAAACAATTGATGTGAACGATGTGCCTTCAGAGGATGTAGGTGAATTCTTTTATTGTCATCGTGTCTTCATCAGTAGAATGTTGGTTTTGCATTTGCAGGGCTTTACAGTGCAATGGTATTGTCAACTGTGCTTTGAGAAAATAATGCATGCAATAGACCATTGTGTGTGTTGTGTATGTGCATGTGTGCATCTTCATTCAAATATTTTGTCAAGTCAAAATGCTCATGGAAGCTGTAGTCAGTTATTCCTGTTCATTTATTCAAAAGCTATTTTAAGCATGTGGCGTGTGCAGTATTCAACAATATTTCCCCACTGCCCAAGGGAGGATACCACATTTATTGAAGGCTGAAAAAAGTGAGGTGCACAATGGTGTTTTTCTTTCTTGGCTTGCTAAATAACCAAATGTCTTTCTTGCTAATTATACATAACATAACGAAACAAGGAAAAACGTCAGGCACTGCACTGATAAGACCCCAGCTATGCTAGCAAGCTATCATTTTGAGATATAAAGACAAAAAACTTGCTGTTAGCAAAATCAAGCTAAACTAAAAATGCTTGGTGGTTTATGTTATGAGTTAGATCTGTGAAGGGCTGCAGACACTAGTCCTTCCTCAGTTACACCTGTAAAGGCACACCTTACCTTTGAGCTGACTGGTCAGCACCGAAAAAACCCTCATGACGGGTTCTTTTAGTTGAACTTTTTTGCATAAAAGGTGAGTGCTTATATTCCCCTTGAGGAAATCTGAAGTATTCAGGATGGAATCCCTGTACTTTTTACAACATGAACATTAAATAAATTATTATTTTATGTTCTCAGTGCTAAAAAAATGTTTTGCTACAACACTTGCAATTTACATGCATTTTATGTACAGCTTTGATTTCAAGCCCAAACATTGAGCTGGACTTTGAACTTGTGTGTGTTACTTGAAGCAGCACACAGACATATCTCAGCATGTTTTTTTTTCTTTTCTGACTCACTAGTGGTACTTTTTAACAAAAAATCTTATGTAGTGCAGCTTTTAGCATCCTGCGAAGTTTGAATAAAAAATGGAAAAATTGTAAAAGCTTAAACACTGCTAATTAGAGTTGTCTGAGAACTGTTTGAGTGTGACTTAATATTCTAATGAGACTGCTTGATGACGTCCCTCTGTACAACACTGCAGTTTATAGAGAAGTAGGAGATGGGGTGGAGTATAAAAGAATGTAGCAGCTATGGTATTGCACGTGAGGGTACTGCACATATGTGAATGGCAGTGTTTCTATTTACAAATAGTGCAGTTTAATAATAAATATAAAGTGCAAATCAATATAAATATCTTTTAATATCCCTTGAATATGTTTCGGATGGGTGCGGGTAGACACTCTATTCCTGTGTTGTTAGTGCCTGGGTGGTAATGTCAGCGTTGGGCAGGGTTCAATTCTTTTATTGAACTGGGGTAGAAGCTGTTTTTAGGTCTGTTTTTCCATGATGTGATGGACCTGTGACATCTGCCTGAGGGTAACAGGTCGTACAGATGACGACCAGGCTGAGTAGGTTGAGGATGGGTCTTTCAATATGTTAGCTGCCTTGCTGAGGCAGCGGTATCTGATGACCTCCTCCAAGGAGGGCAGCGAGCAGCCGATTATATTTTTGCGCTGTGCTGATGACTCTCTGAAGGACTCTCCTGTCCACTGCTGAGCTGCTGGTACATGAATATTATGTACCCACAAAAGCAAGATTAATGTAATTAAGTTTCTTGGGATTTGTGAAATGATTGTTTTGTGCAGGCCTGGTGTTACACATGTGCAGCCAGTGTTTGTCTCCACACAGGAAATGTGAGAAATGACATCTACGTGACACTGCTACAGGGAGAGTTTGACCGTGGCAAGAAAAAGACACCTAAAAACGTAGAGGTTGTGATGAGTGTACTTGATGATGAAGGGAATCCAATAGAGGTAAACAAACAGTACATTATTGAGTTTTCATGAGAATTCCCCCAATTTTTCAAAATTCCTGCATAATTCAGTCGCTAAAGTTTAACAAAGTCATTCAGTCTGGTTTGATGTGAAAGTCTATCTCATCTATCTGACTTCTGATTTTCTGATCTGATTTCTTTACAGTGGTGGTGATGGGAAGCAGGATTTGCAAATACAGCCCTTTTATTTGCTATCCCAAACTACCAGTATGCCTAAATTTAATGTTGATAATGTTAAAATAGTAGTAAATCTGAAAAAATATTAAGCCAAAACCTTACCTCAAAGCTATTGTAAGCCATCAGGCGATTAGTAATCATTTTATGTAGTAGCTTTCTGTGAGGTAGCTTTCAGAGGCATGAAACTCTTCAGAATTTTGGTTCCTATCACCACCACTGTGAACAATTCTGTATCCGTAAGTTTCTCTAGAATGGAGCATTTTGCATCAAACCACTCTGAATGACTTTATCTACTTTGTTAATCTTAATGATTGAATTATGCAGAAGTTTTGAAAAATTACTGGAATTCCACTTTGAGAAGCCATAATGGATTGAAAAATGCGTTACTGTCATGTAATGATTAAAATACACCTCCACTCACCCATTTATTGTCAGATTTAAAAAAATCTAAATGTACACTACCCTTACTAATTTTATATACAATAAAAAAATTACAAACTGTTTGACAAAAAGAACAATAATATATTATTGGCAATTGGAAAGAAAGTGTACATGTGTGACAAAGTTTTGTGATAAACACATGTTCTTTCCATTTAAAGCTAATAAGGTACTAAACCCACAGGCACACAAATTTAGAACTTTGTTTCATAACCAAATCGATTCTGTCTATGATTAGAAAGCCATATTCCCAGGGGCGGGCTATGAGGGGATCACTGAATACAAGTCAGTCATTTACTACCAGGTGAAGCAGCCATGCTGGAATGAGACAGTGAAGGTAAGGGCAGCTAGCTTGGTTCTTTTCATTTCAAGTAGTACAGTTGGCAGTATTTCAGCTGCCGTTACTTTTTATGTAATGTGTAAGGCCTCCGTAAAAATGTGTATTTGTCAGACACGTTTTCTCCTAGCTTGCTGTCTGACCATTTTTTTTGTTCCTGGTCTTAAGCAAATTACAGACTATGATTACACAGCCTTTAAAATAATGCTAAGTTCTTAAAGTTGCTATAATAGATAAATTAAAAGTTCTACATGGAGTCAGTTCAGTAGCTCTGTAATTGGTTTGACTTTATAGTGCAATGTTATGTTAATTTTTTGTTAGTGTAAGTTTAATTTTCTAAGATGTGTCATCAGATAAATACTGTGTGCCTAATGGATTTTGTCAGGGGACGATTGTTGGTTATGACTAACTTGAAGGTGAATGTGCTTTGTGGGGAAACCTGGTTTACGTCCATGCTTTTATTTCCTTTAGGTGGCCATCCCCATAGAGGATGTGTGCCGCTGTCATCTCAGCATGACTTTCAGACACAGATCCTCTCAAGATTGTAGGCTATTTTAAAATTTCTTTCAAATAATATTGAAAGAAAACACTATAGAATAGTGTGATCTTGTTTTTTAACATCCCTCACTTTATTTATTCATTTCCTATATATATTTATTTTAATTCATCCATATTTCATACTTGTGCTATCGGTGTGATGTGTTTTAATCAGTTAAATTATATGCTGCATTTTTGTCTTGCAGCTAGAGATAAGTCTGAAAAGCCATTTGGAATGGCTTTTGTTCGCCTGATGAAGTCAGATGGTACCACTCTGCGAGATGGAAAACATGACCTAATTGTCTACAAGGTGGACCTGCACCCCCTGCTTTTCAAACTTTTTCTTTTTTCTGCTCTTTTTATGTTCTAACAGCTTTGTTGCCCACGCAGAAGAAATATTTAGCAGCAGAAGTGTGCTTACCTGCAAGGCTTAGCAGTAAAGACACACACACCAACTAAACAATGTTACTTTATAAGAGTTATCATAAGAGTGTTTTGTTTGTTTTTACAAGTTTGTATACAGGGTAAATTATTGTCTCTCTTTACATAGGTGGATGTGAAAAAAGCAGAAGATGCCAAGACCTATCTGACTCTGCCAGGCTGCTGGGCTGAGGTGGAGGAGTATGAGAGACAGAGTGGAAAACCTTTCCAGAATTTAAGTCTCATCCCAGTCACTAGGGACAGCTTCCAGATCAGCACACTCACCTGTTCCACAAAGCTCACACAGAATGGTACTGTTCTCATGGATTTACCAGAGATGTAACAGTACAGGTCAAGCAGGCTTCCAAAACTTAAGGAAAGATTACAATTTTAAGTGGACCTTATATATATTCAGACTCTTCTCTTTGTGTTTTAGTGGATCTTCTGGGACTTCTCAACTGGAGATCAAATCCTGACAAATTAGAGGAGAATCTTCAGAGACTGATGGAGGTTGATGGAGGAGAGATTGTAAAGGTAGACCTTCATACCCTTGCAAGTTCATAAAAGTGCAAAAGTTTGACTTTCTGAATAGCCATTTCATATCAACTATTTTTTCTTTTACCTATAGTTTCTTCAGGACACACTGGATGCTCTCTTTAACATCATGATGGAGACTTCTGAGAAGGATACTTATGATTCCTTAGTGTTCAATGCATTGGTAAGCATAGATTTGTTTTTTAACTGAGATAGTGAAGACGAAGTATGGTATGAGAGCTTAAGGCTCAGCTTTGACTCGATGGCACCCCATAACCATTGCCTATGGACCTCAACACCAAATAACTACTGCAGAAGTGATATCAAGATGTTATTGTAGCATATCATAATGCTCAAACACTAAACTACAACAATCTGTTACACTTACTAATGCTAATGTAGCAGAACATAGTCTTTGTTGCAAAATCCTTAGTTACTGAGGTCAATCTAGTTAATTTGGATAAATTCTACAGACTGAAGAGTCTTTTGCCAAAAAAGCTTCCCAGCATCCTTAGCAGTTTCATTGGTTTCTGTTAATTAACTCTTAACGTTTCATTAGTTCTCGTCACATAATATTATTATTATTATTATTATTATTATTATTATTGTTATTGTTATTGTTATTGTTATTTATTTATTTTTTATCCTCATGCTGAAGTGTTTTGTTTGGGTGCATTCTACATGTCTTAGTCATTTTCACAGTGATGGTGTTTGGTGTTTAGGTTTATCACTTCAGCATGTAGCCAGTTTCTAAACAGAATATCATAGATGCATGAAGCCATTTTAGTCATAATAAATGGGAAAATTGTATCTGTTTCTTCATTACTGTAAGAAGAAATGGATAAAAAATGGTCTTGGTTCGCTTCAAAACCAACTCTGGTGCTGTTTGTATGAAGTATGAACACCATACAGACCAAAGATTTTGCACTTTTCTGTGCAAAATTTCTTTGATTTGTGGAAAAGACGAGTTCCTGTTGCTGTTTTGACAGCTGCATGTGTTTTATCATCTCTTTATAAGCTTTGAATTAGTAATAATAGAATGGATAGTTCTAAAACAAAAATAAGGCACATTTTAAGTCATTATAAAGTACTCCATATAGACACTTGACTGCACACATATATTATGTACTAATGTGCTGACGTTTCTCTTTTCTGTAAAAACAGTGAGCTATTTGAGGCAGTTCTAGGGATTTCATCCTGCTTTGTGTCGTGCAAAATCATGGTAACACGGAGTCTTGTAGCTTATTACTCTAATATCACCGCCAAGCCCAGATAGAACGGAGAACTGCATGATTCAGAAAGTTCGATGGACATTATCACAGGTATCGTGCTTCATAAAATCTGCCCAGTCAGCTATGAACTTTTATTCACAGAATTTTTGTATACATCTTGGTTCAATGCTAAATATGACTGTGTGAATGCTAAATGAACCAGAACTAAAAACACAACAATGTAACTCTTCCTTGATCTGGACCAAACCAGAAACTGAGCTACAAGTATAAATGAACTATAAATGAGAGCTTAATCTAACTAGGCTGATTTAAGTTAACCTAACTAAATTGGGAGTAAACTGAATTTGCCAGCCCAGTTGAAACTATTTAAAATGATTGGGCTTTTTGAGGTAACCTTACTGGCTGAAGTGTGGACTACTGAAAAATAAAGAGTAAATGTAACTCATACAATAACAATACTGTTATTTAAGCGTGAACCTGTTTAGTAACTTTATTTTTTTTATTATATTTTTTTTGAGGCAGTAAGTTTGCATGATTTTTTTAAGTAAAGAATAAGTTTACAGTATGTGCTTACATTAGACCTATACAAAACAACAATACACTATTGATGTAGAAATTTATTTAGGTGCCTTTACTGTACTCTAATGTGTCCAGTGTTAACTCCTTCTTTAACCCCTTAACATTCCAGGCTTAATACATACAAAGCTAATTATTCAGTAACTACAGGACTTCAGTGCAAACTAATAGAGCTTTTCTTTATAGGTTATAGAAGTGTGTTATAAAACTTTGGGCCTGCTGGCGGGCCCATGGCTTGTTAAGGGTTAGGTAAAGTGAACAAGGTTTATGTTAGGGTTTTATTAGCGTTCATTCATCGTTTTGCTCAGCAAAGTAGCCTGTCTGAACAATGACAGGTTGATTACTGAGTGCAGCATTATCTGACTCCTAATAACATGTTGGTAAATATCTTCATGGCAGATTTTACAGTAAAATGTAAACATTCACACAACAGGTAGAACATTTTTATTGTGACTGCCTTGTTCTATCAGATTGAGGTCAGGACTCTGTGCAGGCCAGTCAAGTTCTTCCACGCCAAACTCGCTCATCCATGTCTTTATGGACCTTGCTTTGTGCACTGGTGCGCAGTCATGTTGGAACAGGAAGGGGCCATCCCCAAACTGTTCCCACAAAGATGGGAGCATGAAATTGTCCAAAATCTCTTGGTATGCTGAAGCATTAAAAGTTCCTTTCACTGGACCTAAGGGGCTGAGCCCAACTCCTGAAAAACAACCCCACACCACAATCCCCCCTCCACTAAACTTTACACTTGGCACAATGCAGTCAGACAAGTACCGTTCTCCTGGCAACCGCCAAACCCAGACTCGTCCATCGGATTGCCAGACGGAGAAGTGTGATTCGTCACTCCAGAGAACGTCTCCACTGCTCTAGGGTCCAGTGGTGGCGTGCTTTACACCACTGCCTTCGACATTTTGCATTGCACATGCAGCTGCTCGGCCATGGAAACCCATTCCATGAAGCTCTCTACGCACTGTTCTTGACCTAATCTGAAGGCCACATGAAGTTTGGAGGTCTGTAGCGACTCTGCAGAAAGCTGGCGACCTCTGCGCACCATGCGCGTCTGCATCTGCTGACCCCGCTCTGTCATTTTACGTGGCCTACCACTTCGTGGCTGAGTTGCTGTCATTCCCAATCACTTCCGTTTGCTATAATACCACTGACAGTTGACTGTGGAATATTTAGTAGAGAGGAAATTTTACGACTGGACAAAGGTGGCATCCTATCGTGGTACCACACTGGAATTCACTGAGCTCCTGAGAGCGACCCATTCTTTCACAAATGTTTGTAGAAGCAATCTTGGCCCCAGGATGGACCAAGCAAACATGTAACCTTTTAATTCTTACCGCTCACATTCTGTTTAGAATTGTAAGGTATCTGTGAATATACCTAAAGAGGAATGGATACTTCAGCAGACTGTTTCAGATAAATCTTCTTTCGTATATATCTAAAACAAATTAAATGTAGATAAATACAAAGGTAATACACTGTTTTAATACACTGGTAGTACACTGTTTTACATTCACTTTACTTTCAAATATTTGTCTGTTTCATGAACCATGCCAATATTAAAAGGTTAATCATACTACAAATATATTGTACTAAATGTACTGTATGTCCAAATTTATGTGGTGGACACCTGGATATCACACCTATATGAGCTTGTTAGACATGTCTTTCCAAAACCATGGTCATTAATATGTCGGGTATGTATATGGAAAAATAGTCAAAAGAGCATCAGCCTTCTGTGGAGCTTAGGGATAGGGGTAAAACATTAATTCTTATTCCATACTGATTGGCAGTTGCAGATAGAATCTTATAATACCAACTTAGTATTTCCAGAAGGAACCTTTAACATTTTTTAAAATCGAGGCTCCACAATGCTTGCCAAGTTACTTCGGTTTTTCTTCAACTCCTGCCCTAACTTGAAAATGGCCTATGCTCTAATTACAACAAGAGCGCTTTTATCCACTTCTGAATGCTGAATGTTCATCCAGTATCCCCATGAAACACAAAGGCTTGTTTTCTTTCAGAGTTTTTATTTTGATTAACTTTCTTCCAACACTCAGTCTGTGGCTTCACTGTTCAGTTAACAGGTTGATAACCAGTGCCATTATCAGCATCTCTCTTCACAACACGGTTTCCCCTTTTTTAATCCTTCAGCAGCTATTTTTGCCACAAACTACTACACAGCTTCGTACTGCTTTGGAACTGCACTTCAACAGAGGGGAAAGAGTTCTTTGGCTCTCGGCTTTGGTTTGCTTAAGTATTTCCAATGCAGAAACGGCTCGTTCTTCTCTTTTCCTCTTTTTTCTCTTTTTCTCAGCAATCAGTTGCGAGAGTTACGTTTTTCAGGTAGGTCACCTGATCACGTTATTTTCTTTTCTCCTAGCAGGCGAACTCGATGAAACAACTAAATATGAAACTCAACTTTAACAGAAAAATACCGTTGGGAACTTGTTCTTGGCGCGTTGCTAAGTTTCAGTTTCACTTCAGCGAAGGTTGTTCATTTTTGGTTTTGACTTGACGGTGCTTTTAAACTTACCGCTGCAACTATAATCAGCATTACATGATTAACTATATGCATACCTTCTATAATCTACATCTATATTTTGTAAGTGTATATTCTATATTCTAAATCCACAAAATGACTGACAGCAGCTTGTATCCTTTTCTTGTACTGGTGAATGATGCACTCTCAGTAACTTTAACAAATTAATTCTCATTTCACCTTCTTTGGCCAGGTGTTTATAATCTCACTGATTGGGGACATAAAATTTCAGCACTTCAACCCAGTTCTCGAGACTTACATAAACAAGCACTTCAGTGCCACACTAGCTTACACGTAAGAACTTTTCTTCATTTTTTCATTCTTTTTCTGTGTTTCACAATCCATTTTTTCTTTTTTTTTGTCTTAGCATTTTGTCTTGTCTCACAAGCAAGCATCTGTTGTGTATACACACCATCACAATTTCACCTTGATCTTTTTATACATACAGGAAATTGACCAAGGTGTTGAATTATTATGTTAGTTACACGGAGGACCCAGCTCACATAGAGAGGCTCTATGCTGCCCTAAAAGCCTTCAAGTACCTTTTCCGTTTCATTGTACAGTCTCGCATCCTTTATCTCAGGTAGGTCACATACAGGTTTTTGTTCTGTTATTTAGTCAGTATAGTTTGAGATTATATTGTGTGTGTATACACATTGCATATTGTAAACTAATTCAAGGGACAGTATGAATGCTTCAAGGAAGATTGCTTTCATCCTGAATATTCCTTGTTTTAGGACACAGAAACATTATTCATTACTATGAAATGTAATGAAATGCAGGAACACAGTTATAAAGTCTTTCTTATACTCTGATGTGTTTGTGTATAGAGGACATCTTGCTGGAAAGGAACTACCAGCAAATTTATAAGATTGACATATGATGAATTTTTGCTGTGTCTCATGTGTCTTAGATTTTATGGGAACAGTAAGGAAGGGGACGAGTTTTTCGACTCCATTCGTACACTTTTCCTGTCCATCAACACTCTGATGGACAGGCCTCTGGATGAAGCTGTGAAGATAAAGGTGAGTGGGGAGCTATGGAGAGAAATGTGGAACATTTTTCAAATCCATGACAACTTTGAATATAAGGGGTTATTATATTATTTTGAAAACAGAGCTATTTGAACTATGTAGATAACTAAGCCACAGAAGCCACTTCTTGTAACTATGGAAACTTGCATTTTTGAAAGGTGCAAGAGTTTGTTTCATAATAAAAAATATATATATATATATGCATGTCTTTCATCTGTATTTCTTTCATCAACCTAGAGTGATCCAAAGCTGGTATATTTCGCTCTGCATCTTTTTTTCACAGGGAGCAATTTTAAAATACCTTCCAACCATCATCAATGACATCCAGCATGTTTTTGATCCAGTGGAGCTCAGGTAAACGGACCGTCACTATAGTCTGCCAAATATGAGTGCTATATGTCATACCAGAGTCTTTTGTCAGATAGTTAGTTTTGTGTGTGTGTGTGTGTGTGTGTGTGTGTGTGTGTGTTGGGCAACATACTTTAAAACAGTAGTGATGGCTGAATACTGAATACACTGTCCTAAATGTATTCAGTAATGTATTCTGTTATAGTACATAAAGTAACATATTCACAATACATTTAGATACATTTAGAATACTTTTTGGTAAGGCTGTTGGGGGGAAAAAATTTTCGCTGTTATTTTTTGGCAGTTTTCTTCATGTAATTATTCTGTTAATATGTTTCATAAAAATTCCTTATTAAAAAAAATATGTAACTTTTTTGCTACATGTTGTGTGCTGATTCTGAAATATGAGAGGCCGTTTAGGTAAACATTCTGACTAACCTCTCACGCTCATCATCAAACGTCTCATGTTCACTATCAAACATCTCACGTTCACTATCAAACGTCTCACGCTCACTATCAAACCCTCTCACACTCGCCATCAAACCCTCTCACACTCGCCATCAAACCCTCTCACGCTCACTATCAAACTCTATCAAAAAGGCGTTCTTGATAGTGAGTGTGAGAGAGCTTGATAGAGTGTATGAGAGAACTTGGTCACGTTTTCTGATTGGTTTAGAAAGTTATCATTTAAATGAGCAGTTTCTGATTCGCTCATAGTCAAATATGCCCGTCCCCCACGTGCAGTAGTTCACTCTTAAAAACAGATAGTTCTTCAAAGGTCTTTTAGTAAAGACAATGGTTCTATATAGAACTAGGAACACAAAAAGAACCATTTGCATAATTAAAGAGCTCTTTGCATGGTACTGGTTCTTCAGATTGATAGACAATGTGCTGTAGATGGTTATACATATGACTGAAGTCTTTTTGGTGCTATATCGGTCTGTGTATTCTCATCTTTTATTCTGTTATAGTCAGTGGAAAAATCACAAAATAGCTTTGTTTCACAAACTAAGCATAAAATAAAAAAACAGAAGTAAAATAAAGGGTTGTATTTTATTTATTCAAAAGTATTCAAGTTCTATCACTTTAACCGGAAATACACCTGCAGAGGGCATGTATGGTTGCAGAAGCTCAAATCAGGCGATCGCGGTTAAAAATGATAGACAGAAAAGATCCGGCATGAGTATTGAGAGGGTAGGCCTAGTCCGGCATTTGGGGAGGCAACATTACGTTTTATAGGTGTCTGTATATTTGATGCAGCTATTCTAGCAGCAAAAAACTGCGATATGAGACTCTACAGGACTCCTGCCATTTAACAGCGAAATCAAAGAGAAACGAAAGTCGATTTGCCCAATAATGATGAGAAAAATTAATTGTAATGTCACATTGTCAGATGTGAACTTATTGAGAGCATTCCAGGCTCTCAGCTGGTGAGACAAAAGCTGGGCTGTATGATGAAGATTGTGGAGAGTGACCTTTTCAAATTGCCAGGTGAGAAAACCCTTAAGCAGTATGTGAAATTTATTGGGCAGTACTGTTACTGGTAGAAGCACAGCAGAAAGTTCAGAAGATGGCAGCGTGATAACGTTGGAAGCCACTGCTCTATGGAAAATTTTTGCTTGATTTGCATTTTTTTTCTTTGATTTCTTGGTGCACTTGTCCCACAAGATAAATAGTACCACATTCTGGAAACACTGATTGCAAAGTGGAAGAATAAACATGCCAAGGCTGAACACAAAATCCATGCTGGCGAAAAGTAGCAAGGACTTTGATGGGACTGTGCTGCCAACACTACACCTGAGCAAACAGATGACATTAGACAGCTACTTGGCAGCAAGTCGGAAGTATCTGTGCTTAGAGCCAAGTCTTGCTGAATTAAGCTTGTAGATTTTAAGTCTAAAAGCTGATATACAGGTGCAGGAACAAAAGCAAAACGGACACCCATGTCACTACTCAATGAAATGTGTTCTTCGCCTGTGAAATGAAAACGAAAACATTTGTCAAGAAATAACATCGTTATTAGTACTGCTTCTCAGGAGGAGCAGAGGCTGTTAAAGACGTGTCATGAATTTTATGAATTTGGTGATAAGGCTAGTAAGCTTTTGGCCTTACAGACCCACCAGTCCACTGCTTCTAAAATGACGACACAGGTATGATCCACAGCAGGTACCAGTTTACTTAACCATGAAGACGTTTTTTCTCATCTTTGTATACCTCAGAATATCTGTGATTCAAATCAAATGCATTCTTTTTTTTTTTCAAACTTAAACTCGTTATAGTGATTTGTGTTACAGCTCCAGACTTAAGAATTATAGCTGTGAGCTCCTCGCTGTCCTGTGTTCATATTGTTCATATAATACTGTGGCAGCTCTGGTTTTGGGATGGAGCTTTAGAGGCGCGTAATCCAGAGCTGTGCCGTGGCACCGCCCCTTAAGGGACAGATTTGTTGTGGTTTAATGATGTTAGTGTTGTTGTGCTGTTAGTGTAAAATGCATGTGTGTGTGTTATTTGTCTTATTCTGTAGCCACTCCCGTGTCTCTTTCTTCACCAACACACTCGTCACTCATCTCCGAGTGTGGCACCAACCAGCGCTTTCGGTACATTAAACTAAACTCTCACTGCGAGACACTGTGTTTGGCTTTAGGTCCTGATGTGCTGTTTGTTGTGAAGGAGAAGCAAGGATTAACCGTTATTTACACACAGAAACAAGCAAAATTGCGAGTATAATCTCAAGTGCCCGTATACCTGCGAGAGGCATGTGCACACGAAGAGGAGTCAGGATTCTGCACAACCCTGACGAACAGGCCTGATTTCCGTGATTTCTGAGTTTCTGAGACCATGCATGCACTCTGCATGTCTACTTAAGGTTAAGGTGATAGATATTTTTATTTGGATAAGTAATTTACGACCCTTTATTCCATTGTTGTTGTTTGTTTGTTTGTTTGTTGTTTAATTTTATGCTTAGTTTGTGAAACTGTGAAACAAAGGTATTTCGTGATTTTCACTGAGAATAACAGAATAAAAGATGAGAATACATGAACCACTATAGCACCAAAAAGACTTCAGTCATACATGTAACCATCTATAGCACATTGTCTATCAATCTGAAGAACCATTACCATGCAAAGAGCTCTTTAATCATGCAAATTGTTCTTTTTGTGTTCCTAGTTCTATATAGAACCACTGTCTTTACTATAGGACCTTTGAAGAACTCTGTTTTTAAGAGTGAACTACTGCATGTGATACTGCATGTCTCTAGACCAATCAGAAAACGTGACCAAGTTCTCTCATACACTTTATCAAGCTCTCTCACACTGACTATCAAGAATGCCTAGAGTTTGATAGTGAGTGTGAGGGAATTTGATAGTGAGTGTGAGAGGGTTTGATGGCGAGTGTGAGGGAATTTGATGGCGTGTGTGAGAGGTTTGATGGCGAGTGTGAGAGGTTTGATGGCGAGTGTGAGAGGTTAGTTAGAATTTTGGCCTAAATGGCTTCTCATACTAAAATGTTTTTATTTTAGTCTTTTTTAATGGGTAAATATTCTAAATGTTTTCTTCTGAAAATGTAAAAAGTAACTAAATTCTGAATACTGCCTTTATAAAACATTTATAAAAAGATAATTAATTCTTTGGGTTCTGAATATGTGCTCCCAATACTTGTATTCCGTTACATCCCAGCCCTGTGTGTGTGTGTGCATGCATGTGTGTGTGCATGCATGCGTGCGTGTGTGCGTGTGTGTCTGTGTATGCAGTACTATGCAAACATCCTAGACACCTAAGCACATTATTTAAATAATTTATCTTGGTAATAAGTGTGCAAATAATACAGTAAAAAGTTACAAAAAAAAAGTTTGAGCTATCTGAAATCTGAAACCACATTTCTCCTGGATGCTCCCAGCTATTGTATAGTCTTGCTAAATTCTATCATAATACTGGTCTTCCACGAGGAGAGGTTCAGAAATGGCTAAATGAACACACTGACAAGTAAAATGTGGGATTGGATTGTTTTGATATTATTTTTATTTATTTTAACATGCATTAATTAATATATCTAAAAAAATATTGAAAATACTGTTTCTCTACAAATTTCTTTCTGCTGTGGAAGTGTTCTGCTGGCTAAGTTTATTGAGAGCATTCCAGACTCTCAGCTGGTGAGACAAAAGCTGGGCTGTATGATGAAGATTGTGGAGAGTGACCTTTTCAAATTGCCAGGTGAGAAAACCCCTTAAGCAGTATGTGAAATTTATTGGGCAGTACTGTTACTGGTAGAAGCACAGCAGAAAGTTCAGAAGATGGCAGCGTGATAACGTTGGAAGCCACTGCTCTATGGAAAATTTTTGCTTAATTTGCATTTTTTTTCTTTGATTTCTTGGTGCACTTGTCCCACAAGATAAATAGTACCACATTCTGGAAACACTGATTGCAAAGTGGGAGAATAAACATGCCAAGGGTGAACACAAAATGCATACTGGCGAAAAGTAGCAAGGACTTTGATGAGACTGTGCTGCCAACACTGCACCTGAGCAAATGGATGACATTAGGCAGCTACTTGGCAGCATCAAGTCTGAAGTATCTGTGCTCAGAGCCAAGTCTTGCTAAATTAAGCTAGTAAATTTTAAGTCTAAAAGCTGATATACAGGCGCAGGAGCAAAAGCTGCAGGTGGTTCTGGACTGTCTGTGCAAAACGGACACCCATGTCACTACTTAATGAAATGTGTTCTTCGCTTGTGAAATAAAAACGAAAACATTTGTGAAGAAATAACATCGTTATCGAAATTTTGAAGCATCTGTAGCAGGGGTGCCTAACCAAATTAAAAGGATCATCGCATTCCTTTATCATTGGAAGCTTTTGGCCTTACAGACCCACCAGTCCACTGCTTCTAAAATGACGACACAGGTACGATCCACAGCAGGTACCGGTTTACTTAACCATGAAGACAGATAGTTTTTGTAGTTTTTTCTAGTCTTTGTATACCTCAGAATATCTGTGATCCAAATCAAATGCATTCTTTTTTTTTCCTCAAACTTGAATGTACCCATAGTAAGCAACCAATCTGATCCTGATTTGGGAGCCCTGCTTGATCTGTCTGAAATTGTGAATGGCAAATCTCCAGGCACAGATAGCATCTCTCTGGAGTTTTATAGGATGTTCTTGTCTCAGCTGGCTCTGTTACTTCTCTTTGTATTTAATGATGATGTATTTAATGAATATCTTTTTATAGCAGTTGTCTGCCCCCTACTCCAACACAAGCTTCAATGTCTCTCTTGGCCAAAGAAAACAGGGACCCTTTGTGATTCGTATAGAGCCATCTCACTATTAAATGTAGATTTTAAAATATTGGCTAAAGCTCTTACTCTTGCCGTGGATGCATCTCTTTTAATAATTTGGGGTGTTTATTTGATATATTTTATAGCAATTCTCCCACAGACACCCAAGAATTAAAAGGATACAGAAAATGCTTTTGATAAAGTAGAATGGTCTGAGACAAGGGTGCCCTATCTGCCTTATTGTTCACTATGGCTGTAGAACCATATCACTACAACAGTGCCCTGACATCAAAGGTATTTTCCATAAAGATATTGATAACAAAGTCTGGTTGTATGCAGATGACCTCCTTCTCTATGTTTCTAATTCCCTTTTAAGCCGCCACATTCTCTCTATCTTAGAGTATTTTGGGAAAACCTCTGGCTACAAAGAAAAGTGAATATTTTCCTATAAATCTATTAAACAATGTATTATCCCCTCAATCATACTTTTCAGACTAAAGCACAGAGAATTTCAATATTTGGGCATAACAGTTGCACACTCTCTCAATGCTTTGTTTGGGATCTTTGTCCCTCTTTATGGTCACACCAGGGAAGATTTTAATAGATGGTCCACATTGCCGCTGTCTTTAGCAGGGTGTATTGGTCTAGTCAAAATGACAATTTTACCTGACGTTCTATACTTATTCTCGAATATACCTGTTTTTTTAATTAAAAACTTTATTTAACAGTTTACAATTTTGTGGGAAAAAAAGGTTCATATTAGGAAAACTTTCTTACAGAGACCAAAGTGGCAGGGTAGGCATTCCCTTTTTTTATTTTACTATTGGGCCTCGCAAAATGCAAAACATAGTTTTTTAGATCTCTCGACAACACTGTCTTTCTATCCCAGTATGGGTGCAAGCAAATTGCTGCCAGTTTTCCCTAAGCTCTCTGTTATGCTTTTCTTTCCCTATAACTGGAAAGAAAAAAAAAAACAAACAAAAAAAACTTTTCTTTGTCCTAATCCTGTAGTCACACTCCTAATCCTGTAGTACAAACTATAAAGGTTTGGTACCAATTCCAAAAACACTTTGGGTTACAGCTGGTCTCAGTTTTGAGCCCTATTATATCAAACATCTCACAGTCATATTCGGATTCAGCTTTTCACATGTGGTACAAGAATGAAATTAGATGCCTATTTGTTTTTAGATAACACGTTCCTAAGTGACCTCATATTAATGGTTTCCATACTAGGTATAGGCTATTTATTTATTTGTTCATTTTATTTATTTATTTATTTATTTATTTGTATTTTTAAATTGAAAATATCTGAAAATGTAAGTACATGTCTCTCCTAGAAATTTTATTATTATTATTATTATTATTATTATTATTATTACTATTATTATTGTTATGTTGTTTTTATGGATTTAATTTTTTTATTGTTAGTTGTCTTTTATTTTTTTATGTGTTTTATTTAATTTTTTATATTCATTTGAAATGATATCTATGCTTATTATCAGTGCTTTATAATGTACTTATGTCTTTGGGGGGAGAGGGTGTGGGAAAACTAAACAAAAATTGTATTAGTTCACATTGAGCTATGCTGATATTGGTGAATTTGGCAAAATTAATAGGCAGAATTAAAAAAATACATATACAGCAGCTGAATAGCGTTTCTCTTTTTCCAGACTGCCGTAATGTGCTGTTGCCCCTGCTCACAGACCAGCTTAGTGGCCAGCTGGATGATCACTCCAATAAGACTGACCATGAGGCCTGTGTGCAACTTCTGAGTACTGTACTGGACATGCTAGACCGCAAAGACATGGTTTGTCTCTCATCATGGTCATAGGGCTTTACATAATTATGTGGATTATAATTGACCACAGTGATGGCTGCGGGTTCAATAGGGATACATGCAAGCAAGAAATACGTGCCAGTTTTGTTCAGCCATGCGGTCCATGAGAAATATTGTACAATTAAGAGACATAATTTCAGGTCATTCAGGTTACCTCACCCGAAACTCTGTAATCTCACTGTAAAGTACTGTCTGCACAAATTGTTTAGCTATTTCTAGTGTCAGTCCAGTCTCATTCTTTCGTTTGTTTATTCATCCTTTTTTCCGTGTTGTCTCCACTAATTTCCCCAGGGTCCCATGGGGGGTCATGTACAATTAATTATGGAGCGTCTCTTGCGGAGGGTCAACCGCACAGTCATCGGCATGAGCAGAGACTCTCCTCTAATTGTAAGGAGCCTTAAATGTAACTCAGAATCCGTCAAGTAAAACTTTTATTGCAATTTAGTTTTTAACTATTAAGAAAGAAATGTTAATGTGAATCTTTGCTCTGATCCTGTAGCAATGATTTTTTTCCAGGGTGTTGTAATATAAAACAAACTTCATATATTCTCCCTGTTTTGCTCTGGGCATAGGGACATTACCTGGCTTGCATGATTGCTGTCCTGAATCAGATGGAAGATGCACACTATGCCCACTACATAAGCACCTTTAAAACCAGGCAGGACATCATTGTAAGTCCGGTTCTCCTTTTGTTATAATCAATAACACAAAGGCAATTCAAAAGGTCCCTAGCTTTTTGTTCGTCATGTATGTTCGTAAATGACTCAACTGCTTTTTAAATGAATCTTGAAAGGCCAAAGGAGTGGATCGAATAGGGAGTCTGTTTGGTTTCTTGAAAAATATCATCTTGTTCTTGCTCCTATTTCTGATTTTTGCACAAATGTATTTCACTGTTCTTAATTGTTTCTTTTACTTTTATTTTATTTTTATTACTTACAGTCCAAAAATTAAGATTTATCACATGCAGGCTGGTTTCTATTTACACTATATGTCCTAAAGCATCCAGACATCCCTTCAAATTAGTGAACTCGTCTCAACTGTAGTCATGCTTGATAAGTGTTCCTTATTGACTGTTGTGGTTGAAACTCAAAGCTAGATCACCAGTTCCTGCTAACAGCTAGCTCCTACCCTAGGCAACCATTCTTTTCACATCTGTCTGTAGAAATAAATTACAAGGGCAAGTGTGGCTAAAATGTAAAAGAACATTTTCACTGTGTATTTTTAAAACCGCAACATGAAAGTACAGGTTGGTTTTAGGAAGCATGTTTTTTGGGCATGTCTTGCCCTATTTATTCTCTTATTCCTTGAGTCTGTTCATTTATATGCTCGTATTTTATGTGACTTCACATAAAATGTGACTTCACTTGAGACACACTTAAACACAGTTAATAGAACCTGTTGGTAAGTTGCTGAGCTTTCTTAGAAAATGTTTATGCAAGTATTTTTGCAGAAAACCACAGATATTTATTTATTAAGCTGTAAACCTGCATAATTTGTTCAGAGATCAGATTTCTTGCTAGTTTATTACCAAAACAACCTGCTAACACTGTTAGCCTACTGCATTTCCACTCCCAAGTAAACATGGAAGCGCCTTGCATGTTCCTGCTTGATCACACATGAATTTGTTTTTATTACTATGTTGCTCCAGTTGTTTGATAAAACGTAATTAAAACAGCTTCGGTAACCATGTGTAGTTAGAGTGTAGTGACAGTAGTTTGCATTATGTAGTGACATGTTGCAGACATCTTTTTCCACAAAATTCAGCAATTTTGTACCTGGGCAGAAAGATTGTGCACTTCACCCTTCAGTCATATTACGTTATTTCTTCAGGCTAGTCAGTGCCTTGATTTTCATCCATTAATGGAAGACGTAAATGCTAGCAAATTTGAAGCCATATTCTGCAAATTCTTTTTCAGCTAAAATGGCTGGTTCCACATGGCCACATAGTACCATTAAAAACACTTAATCCCATTATTTATTTGTAACCCTTAAGATTAGGATTAATTTCCACACTTAATTTAATTTTCATTTCTTTTTCTCTATAATATCTCATTTTGCCATTTCTGAACCATGCCAAAGCTTAGACTTTTTTAATTCTGAGAAATCATGCATTTACAGCACTTTTTGTGGATTAATGTAAAGTCCTGATGATTGGACTTCCTAAAAGTGTATGTGAAAGGTACAGTATAACTAAAGATATTAAAAATAAAAAAGGTACACATATCCAGTTGCATCATCACAGGCTTCATCTGTGGTGTTTTTTTTTTTATTATAGTTTTTGCTTATCTTTCTTTTCGCTTATCGCTTTCTATTTGTATTTTAATTCATTTTATTTTGTGCTTGGCTTATGGTTGTAAAGCAACAGGAAAATGTGCTTTATGAATAAAAATAATAATAATCATACATTTTATCCATGTATTTACCTTACCAGGACTTCCTTATGGAGACATTCATCATGTTTAGGGACATGATGGGAAATGTATTCCCCTCTGATTGGATGACCATGAACCTCCTACAAATGCAAGTGTTTCTGCGGGCCATAAACCTGTACTCTGATGTCCTCAACCAGTACTTCTTGGACCCTGCTTATTTTCATTTGCAGGTTAGTCTTGGGACATTTTTTTTTAAATCTTTTCATCTTCCAAATGGCTAATAGTTTCCACCAGATGTGGAATCTGTTCTCTCATATCATATGACACCAGCATGTGTGAAAGTGTGAAGCAAGTTATTCTTCTGATATGCTAGAGGAAATTATTTTTTTCTGAACTGCTGATTATGTAGTGTCATAAAGCAATTAAACATGCTTGCAGGAGAGTGATGACTCCTCAGTAATACGCCAGTGTAGTTGAATCACAAGAGCATTTTGTTGGACTAGAATACAACCCCCTTAACCAATTGCACCTGCTTCAATGCTTTTGCGTTTACAGTAGTTTAAAGAAACATACTTTTGAGATACAGTAGGTGTGGCATGTAATATTTAAAATAGCAAACAACGTACAGCTTTGACTTTCATATAAGAGATGTATTTAAGTAATTTGTGTGTGTCTTTGTTTATTTATTATTTATTTGCTTATTATATATACACTAACCGGTCACTTTATTAAGTGCACCTACTTATGTCTACATTCTTGTCCATTTTATCAGGCCCACTCACCACATAGGTGCACTTTGTTCTACAATTGCAGACTATAGTCTGTAGTTTCTTTGCATATTTTCTTAGCCCCCATTTACCCTGCTCCTCAATGATCAGGACCCCCACAGGACCAGCGCAGAGCAGGTATTATTTGGGTGGTGGACCATTCTCAGCACTGCAGTGATACTGACATGGTAGTGATGGGTTAGTGTGCGTTGCACTGGTAAGAGTGAATCAGATGTAGCAGTGCTGCTGGGGTTTTTAAAACACTCTGTCCACTTTATTAGACACACCTACCATGTTGGTCCACCTTGTAAATGTAAAGTCAGAGAAAATAGCTCATCTATTGCTGCATAGTTTGTCATCCAGTCTCTATCCCTTTGCTAGTGGCCTTTTTATCACTGGCGCTTGTATCTGGATATTTGTGTTTGGTGGACTATTCACAGTGTTTAAAAATTCCAGCAGCACAGTAGATTATGCAAACTTGCAGAGCGAGACTGCTGTTAGCATGTAAAAAAATAAATAAATAAATAACCTTAAATAAATAACTCATCTGTTGCAAGAGAGGTCACTATGGAGTTCCAAATTGCCTTTGGAAGCACCATCAGCACAGTGTCTCAGGAGCTTAATGAAATCAGTTTCCATGGCCAAGCAGCTGCACATAGGTCTAAGATCATAATGTACAGTAGCAAGCCTTGACTGGAGTGGTGTAATGCCAACAAAAATACATACATAAAGTACACATTTTAATATTGTTAAAATGAAGATCAAATGTCCATATTTTTAAATATGTTAAAACAAGACAGAGGTTTTATAGGGTGTCCTAATTTTTCACATGACTGTACCTGTTAGCAGTGAATTGGGAGGATTACTGTAATGCAATGTGTACTTCCTGTATGTATTTTTATTGGCTATTGCTAAACATTACACCACTCCAGTCAACACTTGGCATTGTGCATAATGATCTTAGGCCTATGTGGTGCACCTGCTTCTAATTTTGTGCTAATTTTCTAATTTGCTCATTTTTGTGGTGCACCTGCATTTTAAGTAGTAATAAATGTGGGGTGTCCTAGCATTTTCCCCACAAGAAAATTACATTTCTATTAATTACATTTTACAAATAATTTTTCAGACATTTCTTTAGTTTATTTGTTTAGTTATATTACCTCAATCTCTCAGTATTGTTAAAATGAAGATCAAATGTCCATTATGTTTAAATATGTTAAAACAGACAAGGTTTCATAGGGGGTCCTAATTTTTCACATGACTGTACCCTGCATGGGGTCTAGCTGGAACATCTAAACTCAATAACTAGGAAGGGTGTCCGCATGCTTTTGAGCATATAGTGTTTGTGTGTGTGTGTGTGTGTGTGTGTGTGTGTGTGTGTGTACTCTTAACAAAGTTGGAAGGATTACTGTAGTAAATGTATACTTTTTATATTTATTTTTATTGGCTGTTGCTAAATATTCTTTGGGTGTAAGCTTTCAGCCTTATAAAGAAAACTTCTTCTTCTCTTATTGCTGCATAGCTTTGGAACAATTACTTTCACCTCACTGTTGCATTCATTACCCACAAATCACTGCAACTGGAGACCTTCTCTCCTGAGAAACGCAATAAAATTCTCAACAAGTGAGTTCATTCAGTTTTCAAAGCTACAGCACAACTATCACTTTGTCATATAAAGCTTAAAATTTAATTGAATGCTAAGGAGACAAATGTTAATAACAAATAATCTTTCCATTTACTGTCATCCATTGCGTTGTTCTGTTTGGATTGTATACTCCTATGTACTAATTCACAAATTTATTTCTAAAACTTTAATTTGCAGGTATGGGGACATGAGGAAGACCATTGGCTTTAAGCTACGAGACACGTGGTACAATCTTGGTAGGGGCATTTTTTTGTTTGCTTTAATTAGAGAAATGACAAAGTAATAAACAAGGTATACTGAGGGAGGGGTCGACTGATAAATTGGTCAGCTGATTAATCAAACTGATTAAATGCCATTTTGAGAAAATCAGCTGTGCTCATGAGGCCGATAAACAGAAAAAGCCTGCAGACTGCAATCAGCCTTGTCAGTGTGCCTGCTGTGCAACAATGTTAGCCATCCCTCCTGTGTCAATTTCACCATTCTACGGGGAGACGTCAGTGGGTGCTGTGAAACAGTAAGAAAAGTGCCACTACTGGATATAATATAAAGAAAAAATGGTAAGACTTAAATTCTTAGCTTTCAATGCTCAATATATTTAATTGGCCATTCTTAATAACATATATAGTATTTTATGTCTGTATTGATTGATTCTGGTAGTGAGAATGTGAATGTGAATAATGTTAGTTAGGAATTGTAACAGAAGCAAGACTTCAACCAGCTACACTAGCTTACAGGGCTCAAAAAACTATTGTTCTTATCTCAAGTCAACAATTTGCTATCGACAGCAATTGATTTGATAGTTATAAGATGTCGGTTGCATTTGCTAATGGGCTAGAGATAGCCTCGGTTCAACAAGTTGGCTTACATTAACATTCTCAACTTGCCAACAACATTATGGGCTTCTAACTAACATGTGGAGTTTCTGTGTGTTTCTCTCCCCCCTTGTGTGTGTGATGATATGTGTGAATTTAATTAAGGATGGCAGAGGATTCATGGGGCAGAGTCTCTGCTCTAACACACTGATGAAACCTGTAGTCGCTTGGTAGAAGATATGAGCATGCTGTGCAGTGCGAGTCCCTCATTTACAGTGTAGCAGAGCCAATACGGAGAACATGTATTGAGAAGTTAAATAGTAAAACACAACAAATACTAAAAAATAATAATAATCATAGTAGTAAATAAAAAATAAAACAATAAACCATTAAAATTACAACAAAATAAGATAGGAATAAATTACAAATATTATTCTGAAATAAATAAAGAAATAAAAGATGTAAAACAGCAGCTTGACAATATTAAAATAAATAAGAACAGAATAATAAAAAATGAAACAAGACCTAAAAAAACATACCTAAAATCGCTTTTTAGTTGACTTTCTAAGTTAGCTAAAATCAAGTAAAACATTTGCAGGCTGATTGGAGGTGGTTAGAGACTAAAAGGTTAAAATGTTCATGTGACACTAGTGAGTGAAGCTTCAGAGATTCCTGTAATAAATTCCAGCTCACTGGTGCACTGTAGCTAAAAGCAGATTTTCCTAGTACAGTAAAAGCTCTCGGATTGGGTAATCCAGTCACTGGAACAAGTCTGGTAAAATGCGTTACTTACTCTGAGCAGTAAGTGCTTTATAGATATAAAGAAGCCAAAGTATCTCCCAAGCCGTAGACAGAGATGACCAGCCAACCTTTTCATACAGTACACAGTGATGGGTGTTGTATGGGTCACCAGTAATGAATCTTAAAGCAGAGTGGTATACAGAGTCTAGAGATTTTAGAGTAGATGCAGATGCATTTCTGAACAATAGTGTTGCTTCAACAGTCTTTTTCCTTGTGTGCATTGGAAAACATACTTTGTTTCCATACATGAAGCCAAGTTTTTGCCTCAGTTTACATGTGACCATGTTCATATGGTGTTTAAAAGTGCATTTATAGTCTAGCCATATGCCAAGGTATTTGTACTCACTAAATCTTTAAATGTCAGATCTCTTCAGGGTTGCAATTTTAAAAGCATTAAAATCGATGTTGGAGGCTCTGGAAAACAGCTTAAATGTAGTTTTCACAACATTTAAGACTAGTTTATGATTGTAAAAAGCTGATTGTAAGGCATTAAAAGACTGGTGCAGTTTATCCACTGCAGTGTAAATATAGTCAGCCAAGCAGTACAAGTTGGTGTCATATAATATGGCATATAAATGTACCTTGCAATCAGCTATTAAAGTGGCAGTGTCATTTTACACACACACACACACACACACACGCACACACACACACACACACACACACACATACACAAACACACATCATCTAAATGGGTCACGGTGGGGTGCTGGAGCCTATCCCAACTGTGATCGGGCGGAAGGCAGGATACATCCTGAACAGGTCGCCAGTCCGTCGTAGGACAGACAGACATACACACACAATCACACACACATCCACACCTAGGGGCAGTCGTCCTGACTGCATGTCTTTGGACCGTAGGAGGAAACCGGCGTACCCGATTTTGGCTAAACATGACAATTTTGAGGTGGGTCTAAAGATATTGAAGTCTGAGACATCACCTCCTTTGTGAAATGGTATTACATATGCTGTTTTACAGATACTGGAAATGCTGTTAGATAAAATAGATAAATGAAGAAATGTATGTAATGTGTTCTAAAATAAACGAGGTTTTACGCCTCAGAAAGAACGGTCCAAGCTATCCTCTCCTGCACTTTTGTTTTTTAGTATTGATGGTGCGAGGAGAGAAAAGATGAATTGTAAAGTGGCCATGGCTTACAGAAGGGGGTGCTTCTGTATTAGTATTATCAAATAAAGAAATAAATGCCATTTATTGACAGCAAATCAAATCTGAAACCAATTAAATACCAGTCATGTTCTGGCTGGTAATAAATTGTTGTGACATGATATTGACGTTATACGTTGCTCACTGGTCACCCTGCTTTCTAAATGTCAGCATTGGCCGTTGAAAACCCATATCGGAAGACCACTATACTGAGGTCATCTTCATTCTGCTGCCTATTTGTGCTGTCGAATAGGAGTTGAATTTTCTGTATTATATTTTTGTTTGTGTTTCCTGTAGCATACGGCTTGCAGTACCATTATATTATGGTGTACAAAGTGGAGATGTTTACAAGCGTGTCAGGTTTGACATGGCTTGAAATGCTTGAAAAGCATAAAACATTTGTTTCATTGTAGAAAAACTGTCAGTCTGAAAAGCAGAAATGCAACACTACACGCATACGTAGTATTATAGTTATATTGGTATATATGATATAGTATAATATCTGTGTAATAATTATATATATCAAGCTGAAACTTGCTAAAACTTCAGGTGCGTTAGCTAGAGTGCTAACCAGCATACTTGCTTTCCAAACTACATGCTAGCCAACAATTGTTTTTTCTCTTTTCTTTTAAACACCACACAATCAAAATCACACAAGTAAGTTTGGGGAAAAAAGGTATTATTCATTGACCACATTAATGTTTGACAGTTCTAATTTAAATAGTTTTGTTCAGGCTAAAATTTCATGAGCTGCAAGTCTTGAGTTGAATTGAGTTGAGGCGCAAGTCATTTAAGGGTGAGTCTGAGACAAGTTATAAGCCAGTGTACATGCAACTTGAGTGGTGTCTAGAGTCCTTATCTTATTTAGAAAGGCTCGTTTGAACATATGTTTGGGAACTGAAGAGGCCAACTGCTTTAGTTTTGAAAGTAAAATGTTTTCTTTTTCTTGTTTGATATAGGATTTCAGATAGGATTACCTGGACTCTTTTAGTACAGAGCTGTGCTTTTGTAATACGTGCAGAATGTGGTTTGGCATTGTCCTGCTGAAATAAGCAAGACCTTCCCTGAAAAGAAACGTCATCTACATCGCAGCTCCAAAACCTGTATATATCATTCATCATTAATGGTGCCTTCACAGATGTGCAATTCACCCTTGCCGTATGCACTAATGCACCACATACTATCATGGTGGTTGGCTATTGAATTGTGCGCTGATAGCAAGTGGGATGGTCCCACTCCACTTTAGCCTGGAAGATGCAGTGTCTTTCGAAAAGAATTTCAAATTTTAATTCATCGGACTGCAGGACACTTTTCCACTTCACCTAAATGATAAAATCCACAAGTTTCTTGTTCTCTTCTGTTCTGTTGCCAGTTACCCTTAGTTGTAAGCTTGTTTTTTTTTTTATTTATTATAATTTATTTTAAATAAAGCATTACATAACTTTACCAGTCTTTTGTGACCCCTGTCCCAACTTTTTTGAAAAATGTTGCTGGCATGGGCATATGTTTTTGCAAAAAGTACATTTTCTCAGTTTCAACATTTGATATGTTGTCTTTTGTACTATTTTCAATAAAATATAGGGTTTAGATTTGCACATCATTCTGTTTTTATTTACATTTTGCACAGCGCCTCAACAGCGTTTAAAAAGGTATGTAAAGTCATCACCAGTATTAGTTACCTGCTTTTTAAACATTGTTCTCTGCAGGTGTTACAATCCTTTTAATAAGAAGATGAGTAAAGAAGTGTGCCATCAGCCTACAGTCATCCATTTTTGTCAGCTTATCAAGTGGGAATATGATCCCACTTACATCATTTGTGAAAATTTTTTAACCCTGCAGTTCTGTGACTGTAGGTCCTCATAAGATGAAGTTCATCCCTGCCATGGTGGGCCCGATCTTGGAGGTCACACTAGTTCCAGAACCAGATCTAAGGAAAGCCACCATTCCCATCTTCTTTGACATGATGCAGTGTGAACACCACTTCAGTCCCAACCACACCTTCCAAATGGTGAGTCTTTTGAGGGCTGTAATCAATGGTCTAAATTTAAACAAGCTGGAACATGATGCTTGCTGTATTAGGTTTGTATTAGGTCTAGCTGACAATGAGATAAGAATATTAAAAGAGTGTGGCAGCATAACGATTGTAGGCATATACAGTCCTTGCTTATGTTTTCCATTCCATTTTTTCCTAATATCTAATTTTATATATGATGCCTAGCATTATAATATAAAAATTTGGAAATTATGAGAGCCTGTTGGTTTAATAATCAAGAAGCAAATTCTTAATTTTGACACTTATTCCTTGTCATCTCATCGCAAAAAATCAGAAAGTTGCCATAGAAGGAAAGCCACTTTGAGGCCCGGCAATTTTAAAAATGTATTGGTAATGATAAAACTGCTTTCTGTTTACTACAGTGTGGCAGTCACAGCAGCATCGTAGCTGGGATGGGTATTCTTTGCATGCACTGAGGAACTATTCATGATTGAAAACTAGGGATGCATCAATATCGATACTGGTATCAGATATCGGTCTGATACCACGATCATGTACTCGTACTTACGTAATGCACCAATACCAATGTCCCGACACCAGCTTTGACGTATGCTGATTAATAAACAAACACGGTGAAGGAGTCTCTGCTCACACAGAGAAGTGTTACTGACTCCGTGACAGTTGGACACAAACCTGTCGGTCATTTCAAACATTCCGCCTTTTTCTTGCCAGGAATACACTGTGTCATTTTAGCACATTTTGAACACACACACACAAACACAATCACAAATGCATCCCCAAAACGGGTGAAGACAAGGTCCCTCTATGCTGACTTTATTCTGTTTGACTGAACAGAATAGCCAGGTACAAACGTTAATATGATTAATTTTTTGTAAAGCAGTCTGTAGAGAGCCCATAATATCCTACGTTGTACGTCACCGCCTGGCTTTTAGCTTCAATGCACAGTGTCGGTGGCGCGGCTCAGTTTTTCATTCAGTTTGCTCAGTACTCTGCGCACATCGTGTTGGTTTGAATAATTTAGCTTTATTTGAAGCTGGCCATAGACAGAACTGTCTGCAGAGGCTGTGTTTCTTGTATAAATCTTAGACTTTGTCTGTATACGATGGTCTATTCAAACGTACAATGCGAGTAACCAAAGAACAAAATTTCTAGAATCATACGGTGTATGTCACAGTGTATTAACTTGAAGGCAGCTTTAGACAGTATTCAATACAGCTCAACCAGCCAAACACAATACTCCCAGCAAGACATAAAATTTTAAACATTAGATCCTCAGATGCATTAGACTAAGACGTGATTCCTGCTGTTGCTACAGAGACAGATGTTGAACGAGAGAGGCTAGCAGCAAAATTATGATCTTTATTTACATCTGTACGGAAGCGGTTTTCTGCCCACTCTTCTCCATTGTAGCACTGCTCTATCCAAAGTTACTAATGTAGCATAACTAGCTAATGCACTTCATTTAAAATCAGCTAGATTTTATTGATTTAATTTTTAAGCTATGTTGCACTCAATTACACTAACAGCTACTTGAATGGTATGGTATCGGACTTGTATCGTACTAAAAATTATGTACTCTCACTCGCACTGAAAAACTGGTATTGATGCATCCCTATTGAAAACGAAAGCAGAGAGCAAACTAGAGGCAAGCACATCACAATGCCTCTTTTAATTCAGTAAGCAATTTTAATTAGGTATGAGCAATGGGCTCAGGACAAAATCTTCATTGAGTAACTTGAAAAAATACCAAGTCTCCACCTTTTTAATACTGTCTTGCAAAAGTAGTGTCCTGACAGTAGCTGCAAAGTAAAATTAAGCTCTCATGAAATATGCCAGTGTCACGTTCACCCAGCATATCAGGCATGTACAGACAGCAGCATTTTACTGTTTATAAAAAGAAAAAAATGAACATGAGACTAATTCCACTTAAAAATGACTAATGCAGAATTACAGTGTGTAAGTATATGCACTCACCAAGCACTTCCTTAGGAGCACCATACTATACTCAGTAGGGCCTCCCTTTGCTCTCAATACAGCCTTAATTTTTGTGGCATGGATTCCATAAAATGTTGGAAACATTCATTGAGATTGTGGTCCATGGTAACTAGATGACATCTTGTAATTCCTGCAGATTTTTCCAAAGCACTTTCGTTCTATGAATCTTCCATTCCACCACACACCAAAGGTGTTCTGTTGGATTCAGATCCGGTAACTGGTAAGGCCACTGAAGAACACTGAACTCATTGTAACATCATGAGACGACTTTTGCTTTGTGACATGATGCATTATCATGTTGGAAGTAGCCATTAGGAGATCGGTAAATTCTGGCAAGAAAAGGATGCAGATGATCAGCAACAATACTCAAACAGGTTGTGGCATTCAAGCATTGATTGATTGGTATTTACAGACCCAAAGCCTGCCAAGGAAACATTCCCCACACCATTATACCACCTCCACCAGCCTGAACTGTTGATGCAATGCAGTTTGGATCAATGGATTCATGCTCTTGACTCCAAATTCTGAGCCTACCATCTGTGTGCCTCTGATGAGATTCATCAAACCAGACTATATATTTCCAACTGTCCAGTTTTGGGCAGGCTCAGCTTTCTGTTATTGGCTGATAGAAGTGGAACCCAAAGTGGTCTTCTGCTGTTGTAGCCCACCTGTCTCAAGGTTTGACATGTTGTGCATTTTGAGATGCTTTTCTGCTCACCACAGTTGTAAAAGTGATGTGATGTGAACGATACCTGAAGCAGCTGGCCTGTATCGGCATGATTTTATGCACTGCACTGCTGCCACATGATTAGCTAATTGCATGAATGAGCAGGTGTACAGGTGTTCTTCATAGTGCTTGGTGAGTGTAAGTGTCATGTGTAATATAGCAAAATATGAAACATGCCTGAATGTTTCAGTGTGTGACCGTGAATGACTGTGTGTGTGTGTGTGTGTGTTGCAGTTTGAGCATGAATTAATCACTAAGCTGGACCAAGAGGTTGAAGGAGGTCGTGGTGACAAGCAGTACAAAATATTACTAGAGAAAACGTAAGTTTTTTTTATGCTTTCTGCCATTGACAAAAGAGTCCCATCAATTCAATGTTATTAAACTGTGCCCGTGTAGTCTTTGAAGGAATTAAAAGAAACAGGAAACAGAATTAAAAAAAAAAGGAAACTGTGGCCATTAGAACTAGAGGAAATCTGTATGTGTAGCTACAAGTTGTTTGTTTGGTTGATGTTTCTCTTTGAGTGGCATGGTTATCTGGCTAAAACTCTTATGTCTGTAGTGCAGAGGTGAGCTATACTTGTGGAACCATGCTGGACATTTTTGTCCCAGTCTTATTGCTTGCCGTCTTTGGCTGAGTTGTAGTTAGCTTTCTTTGCATGGGAAAGATGAAAGTCCCTTGCTTACTGCCAAGATAAATAGATTTTAAATCTAATTTTATTTTGCAGTGCTGTGTGTGTTTATATTTATGGACAATTTCACCAAGTAGGTTTAAACTGCATAAGTATTCAAACTTTAGATATTTACAAGGATTCTGTAATGATCTGTTTAAATCCAAGGCGTGAATTGGGATGATGATAATATAATATTGGGAAGTGGCTGTCCCAAACTCTAACTCCTAAATTTCAACTTGTGAAAATGTATTTATTTATAACTAAATGTCTTTTTAAGCTCTCTTTTCAAAGTGAAGCTGGAAGATTTCGATTTATCATGAGTTTAAAGATGCCATAAAATGGAAAACTGTATTTACATTGACATAATTGAACAAGGAGAGTTCGGTACATGGAACTGACAGACACTGTTGTCTCCTCCTTCGGGTTAAAATCCCACATTTGCAAAAGAGGGCGGTAAAACAGGCCAATTCTGAAATCCTAAACTGTTACATAGTAGTCTTGTCTCATTAATATTTACGCCCCAAAAATTGACATACACCAACCCACGTTCTAACCCAGCGGGAAACAACAACAACAGAGGAACAGCAGTAAAAAATGGAGGCTATGTGCAGAAATGTACTGTTATAGACTGTGAAGAGGATGTCAGCAAGGAACCAGACTGTCAATGGGCATAGTTGATGCTCATCTTTAAACAAGGCACATGTTGTCTTTCTAATTGCTAGCTTCTTTATTGAATGTTCCATTCCACCTTAAATGCTACTGCTTGTACAAACTCCAGAATGTACAGCACCAGAATGTAACTACGGCACCATATAGGGTGGAAGGGAAAATTCTCAAAACAACCTGGCAAATAGGAGGCCAGCTTCAGCTCCTACATGTGTAACATGATTCATGGTGTTGGTTTGCTCTGCACATTTCACTCCAGACAGTCAAACCTTGGACAAGATCTGAATTTTCTGATTCAGAATCTGTGTGACAAAAGCATTTGAATGCCTTTGACTAACTTAACAGTTTTGAATGCTGAGCGTCATTCTGTGCTCTTCATCATGGCTGAAATGGTGAGATGTTAATAAGTGTGGGCTCAGTTTACTTAATGATAATGCAACTGCATGCAGGATATTGTGACCTTTGGGTTCTCTCCAAAAAGCTTGGTGGATTTAGGGGTCTGGGGGCTATATTACTGACACTTCTGAAACCTTATGTATTCAGTAACCATGTCATCTTCATTAGGACTGACTTTAAGACAGAAGCTAATACAGAACAACAGTTCTTAAGTTCATAATCTTATACTAACTCAAAAGAAAACAGGACTACATACGCATCCTAACTAGAGAATACCTAAAAGTAATAACTTTAAGACAACATCATTTTATGCAGTGACAGGCAACATAGTTCACTATAACTAGCATAATGATGTTACATTTATCTACATTGAAAATGGTGCTTTGAGTTGTGAAGTTTTGTTTTAAACAGCGTTTTTAAAAAACGACACTGCAGACATGATCTCCACCCTCCCCTCTTTGTACCTGTGTTAATGTTGATGAAAACTGGTCCGATAAAATAATATAGTGATGGTTTGAATAATGAGGAAACAGAGTGAATGTGTGGCTGTTTATTAGGAGGAATAACATTTGCCTGGTGAGCTAAAGCGTTTTGGGAAACTGATACTGGAGAGCGGCGATGCTCCAAAAAACAGCACGAAGCACTGTCACAATATTCTTAACTTCAGGTTTATCGCACTTTAGTTTTGTTTGACCTTTTTTTACATCAGTAACGGTAGATAGCTGTCTAGCTAACTAACTTAATAATTTTGATTGTGTTAGGTGGCAGACATAACAGTTGAATGTCGATTTCAGTTGAGTTAGTTAAGATCTTCTAACTTGAAATAAGATACAGTAAAATAAGATTCCTAAATTAAGATAAGGTTTGCTTCTGTAATACGAATTTGTGAAAAATCTTATCTTGACCTGTCAGATCTTAAGACAAAAAGATAGGAAGTTTCTGTAATATAGCCAACGGTCCATAACTGAGGCTTTTTATTCCAACTCTACAAATGAGTTCGTACAGCAAGAAAAACTAGCCGATTTGGACTACGCATGCGCAGCAAAGGTATGCCTTTTCAGCTATCGTTTTACCATGTTCCTGTGCATGCATAGTCCAGATTGGGTTGGTTGACGTACACTTTCGCACATCCATAATTCAATCAGGTTTCCAGTTCAATTCGAGTAGTAACAAAAGCTAAAAACAAAGCACTCGCTAGCTTTTTTCCTTCCCCCAAACTCCAACACCCCACCTGTATTCAGGCTCTTCAACCTGAAAGTCCCGGTAAAGACAGCAAAAATGAAACTTTTCCAACTGAACTACTTATGCTACAGTGTGGTTACACCATAATATGTAAAGCAGTAGCTGCGTGTAAACAGGGAAACACCAGCAACCTCATGGAACATGCACAGATATAACATTCTGAAGCAGTGCAGCATGTTTGCTTTAGCAAGGCGGCCTAAGTGCAACCTCATGGCATTGTGACAGATTGTGATGCCTTGTCAAAATGTCCTACCTTCGTGCATATTTATAGGTAGCTTTCTACACAAAACTCTAGGTAGGATATTTTAATAGCTTAAATTACCTCATCAAAATGCTAGCAGTATTAAAGTCATGAAGCTGAAGTCAGCTTCCTATACTCTTATTAGAATTTTCCTATTCCACCATAATAACTGCTGCACCATTTAAGGTGGAGCCGGAAAATTTGAACAAGAAGCTGGCAGATATAAAAGCCAATTTCAGCCTTTTGTTACAACTACAGGTAGGATAGTTTGATATCTAAATGTCCTTATCAGAAAATGTTTCCTGTATTTAAAGGATAGGATATTTTGATAGCCTAAATCAGCTTATCACTTCGTTTTTTGCTCCAAATTATGGAGAGTAGTATCAATAGGAGTATCAATAAGTACCCATCCCTATTTATGGCACCATGTACAATTTGCACAAGAATTTGTTTTTTTTTTTCACCTTTGCATGTATGTGTATTTTAATGCAGTGTTGGAGTACTTTTTCCCTGTTAATTTCATTTTAATCATATCTTTTTAAACATAAATTTTGTTGTTTATTTAAGTACAAAGTAAAAAAGCATGTCAGTTTGAATTATTTAATTAAAGCACTGGATGTATATTAAATGATAAAAAAAGGTCTGAATACTTGTTTCCCCTCTCTGTATTTGGTAAAATAAAATGTTGTAATCACAACACAAAAAGATACATTTTTAATTTAGTCAAAAATAAATAAATAAATAAATAAATAAACCCTTTCCGTACTGCTTCTCTCTGGCCTTTCTTTTGTACAGTTTCAAGTACTCAAGTATTACCAACCATTTTTTACTTTTACCGATTGTGATAAAGCGTGTCCCTCGACCCGGCAGTGTGCTGTAGTAGTGGGGCACACTTTATGGGTAATGTCGGGTAAATGGTCTGAGGAACTGGAAAAGAGTTGGGCTTTCACAAGAGTTCTTCTTCTCCCTGTCACCTTTATTTACACTCACAGCTATATACATATTTACATGTGCACACACTCAAAACGAAAAACAAAATGAAAATAACAGTCTCTACAACTAGATGACATAGATCAATGACTGCAAAGTCGTACAGATCACAAACACCCGTCATCATTCAGTCAGTTACTAAGCTGAAAGAATTCCCTTGTATCCCCGGTGATGCTGCTTATGTATGGGCTGCTCCTCCCCTGGAATAAACCATTACTGATCTGGGTAAAACAAGAGCTTTGAATATTTAAATATGTACATGCAAGAGTAAATATAATTCATATTCTTCACTTACTGCTCATTTTCACATTCACGACGTCATTAATATACCTTTTCAATTCAGTGTACACTTATTAAACACAATTTCCTCTCTTATGGGTTGTGTTCCTCCCACCTCTTCTACAGAGGATGGACTCGCCCAGGTAAGTAAAACTCAGGTGAACCCCCTCAGTTCTCTTTTGGTCCTTAAAGTCCACAGGTGAGTACAGGTAAGTATATACAATCAATCTTTACTCTGTGATGTATAAGGAGTGCCTTACACCATCACACCGATTATCACTATTATTATTTTTGTTATTACAACAATATGGTACTGAGAACACAACTACCATGTGGTGAATTAAGCAGACTTGTCTCTCTTTGACTGTATTTATTACATAAGCCTCTCCCAGGCAAAGTAGGCATAGCAAATCAGCTTTTTCATATGTTTTTGTATGTGCAGGCTGTTGGAGCACTGCAGGCGTCATCGATACCTGTCTCAGTCTGGTGAAGAGCTGGCTGTGCTGTTAAGCTCTCTGCTGGAGAATCTGCTGGCATACCGCACTATCACCCATGATGAGAGCCCTGAACTGCGTATGAGCTGCACAGTCAATGTGTTGGTAAGACCATCACTTAAATTTCTTTATCCACACTGCCTTTGAGGCCTAATAGTGACATGTTATCAGGACATTACCAACATATTTTAACTCTGCTTCCAGAACTTTTACAAGGAGAAAAAAAGAGAAGACATCTATATTCGGTATGTGCAAATGGAAATAGAATAGTAATAAGGAGGTGATAGTATGATGCTTGATATTTTGATGCTCTGCCTCCTTTCCTCAGGTACTTGTATAAACTACGTGACCTGCACTTAGACTGTGAGAACTACACTGAAGCTGCTTTCACACTGCTGCTACATGCTGAGCTGCTAGAGGTCTGCATTTCCTTTCATGCATTGTGCTGTTGCTACTTTGATCTTATTTTGTGAATAAAAAGAATTAAAATATGTAGAAGATGGCTATCATCATCTAAAGCTCAATAGACTGAAATGTTACCAAAAAAAAAAAAACATAAAACCTCTAGCTCTTATTTGTATTGTTATGTATTTTGTATTGGGATAATGGTCTGTGTCGTTTTGTTTCCAGCACGATACTTCTTTCAAAACTTTTTCTTTCAAAACAGTAGTTTTGAGAGATACTTCTCTCAAAACTACTGGGATGGCCAAGCTGTTTATGGAAGTGATTTTGTTCTTTTAATTGAGCCCAAATTTGAGCCTAAATCACAAACACACAGGATAGTACTCTTGGCATAGTGCTTATACTTGATTTCATCGTTTTAATATACGTGAAAATACTTGTACACATCACACTGTTCTAAGCTCTTGTTGGTCTCCTTGTTCAGGATTACCTCCATAGCTTTGTTGTTGTTGTTGTTGTTGTTGTTGCTTTGCTGTTGTTGTTGTTATTATTATTATTATTATTATTATTATTATTATTGGTGTTGGTGTTGTTGTTGTTGTTGAGAGTAGTAGTAATAATTAAAGGGTTTTGTTCCAATATGTGTTACAGAGCAAAAGTGTTACACATGGATATACAGCATTTTGGAATAAAACTCTTTAGTTTCTATTTTTGTTTATTATTATTATTATTATTAGTAGTAGTAGTAGTAGTAGTAGTATTACTATTATTATTATTATTATTACTATTACTACTACTACTACTACTACTATCTGTGCTACTAGTAGTAGCAGCAGTAGTAGTGGTGGTGGTGGTGGTTGTTTTTAGTGGTAGTAGTCAGTTTGCCACCCAGTACGTTTATATATATATGTGTGTGTGTGTGTGTGTGTGTGTGTGTGTGTGTGTGTGTGTGTGTATGCACTGACCAACCATTCATTAGGTACACCTACTTGTAGTCCTTGTAACTCCTTGTAACTTTGTCCATTTTATCAGCTTCTCTTACCACAGAGGAGCACTTTCTGACTATCTGTTTCTCTGCATAATTTGTTAGCCCGCTTTTACCTTGTTCTTTAATGGTGAAGACCCTCACAGGACCACCACAGAGCAGGCATTATTTGGGGGGGTTGGATCATCTCAGCACTGCAGTGACACTGACGTGGTGGTGATGTGTTAGTGTTTTTTCTGCTGATATGAGTGGATCAGACGCAGCAGTGCCGCTGGAGTTTTAAAACCTCTTTGTCACTGCTGGACTGAGAATAGTCCACCAACAAAATATCCAGCCAGCTGCATTCTGTAGGCAGCATCCTGTGACCACTGATGAAGTACTGGAGGATGACCAACACAAACTATGCAGAAAAAGATGAGTTATCATCTCTGACTTTACATATACAAGGTGGACCAACAAGGTAGGTGTTTCTGATAGAATGGACAGTAAGTGGACACATTGTTTTAAAAGCTCCAGCTTTACTGCTGTTTCTGATGCACATGTATCAGCACAACACACACTAACACACCACCATGTCAATGTCACTGCAGTGCTAAGAATGATCTATCACCCAAGTAATCCCTGCTCTGTGGTCATCCTGTGGGGGCTGGCCTGGTCTTGTTTAAATATGCGTAACATTGGCATAATCAGGCACGATATACGCAAATTCACAAACTAGTAATTGTGAAGCAGAAAACTGATTTTAATATATCTCTCTCTGTCTTTTATCTTTTTTCAGTGGTCAGATAAGCCCTGTGCACCCCACCTGATCCCACGTGAGGGGGCTCCTGCGTGTACCCAACAAGAGCTGAAAGAAAGGCTATTCCAGGAGATTATATGCTACCTAGACAAGGGCCAAGTGAGATCTTAAAACACGTGTCTACAGCAATACTTCACTGTGTACCTAACAAAGCGCTAATGTTGTTACTTCTCAAATAACTGTTTCAGCTGTTTTAATTGTTTAAACTCAGTGGACTAGCTAGGCTGTAGGGCTGTCAAAATAAGAAGACATTTGAGTATTTATTGAATCCATTGAAAAAAATGCATATTTCGAATGTAGAAAATGTCCAGTTGAATGTTTAAGGCTACCTCTGCTGCAGCTTCAAGTATGTTCCAGTTGTGACTCCCAGATTGAGCAGCAGTGGTTTAAGCACCCTGTGCTGTTGGGGACACTTGATAATTTATGCTGAGTGGCCCCTTATGGATTTAGGAGACATTACATTGACTTAGAAATCTGGTGTTTACTGCAGTTCTGTATGCCTCTTATTTTCCTTCTTGTTAAATAATATATTTAGAATATATTCGAACATTTAACAAACAAGGGAAAAATTCTGATTTGATCTCTGATTATATTTGACAGTCATACTGGGCTAGTTGGGATTGTTGATGCAACAGATGGCTCTACAAACCATTAAATATTCTCACTTAATGTACATTAAATAATTTATTTGTTTCTTTATTTATGTACAGATGTGGGAAAAGGCCATTGAGATGAGCAAACAGCTTGCCAAGATGCATGAGAACCAGATGTTTGATTTTTTGGAGCTCAGTCAGCTCCTGGTGAGATATACTACACATTGGGAAAGCCGCTTGACTTTCTTGTTAACACTAGCCTTTAAGTTACGCAGACATGCAACACTGATAACTCATATCTAAAGTGTCATTTCTATATCATCCATATTGGAATATTAGGTTTAATACACAAGACTAGCATGAATGTGCACATTAAACTGGGTGAAGTCCTGACTGGGGTTACAAACATTCTCCTTCTGAGTAGCTGTGTGTTTGAGGGGCAAATATCACTTTTAAATGACTCCTTTTCACATTGGCTTTCTACATTTGGGCGGAACTTTGGGGGGAAAAAAAAGTATTAAATTTTAACATCTTACGGTTTTCACACATAGCTCTTTTTAAATGAATTCAATTCAGATCTGTTAAAGTGAACCTGAAAGGGAATCTGCTGCAAATGACCTCAGTGCTTTTTGTGTTCAGAACATAGCAAACTTTAAAGGGGACTCTGGTCTTTTTCTTGTCCTCTTTAGCATTGAGGATATCTCAGACCACTTTAGGTCATAGTTCATCATATATGTTTGACCCCATCATAAAATCCTCCAATTCCAATAGTGCTGAGCTATTAACAAACATTGAATGGTCACCATTGTTAATGAAATCATTTTTGATTGAAATCTTTTTTTAAAAAATTGAACATACTATTTATTATACTGTATATTTTGTCATCATTTAATTAAAACAATAAGCTTCTCGAATCTGCATTTTAATTGGGGTGGGGGCGGGTTTAAGCTGCTTTCATGCCACTCGAAGTATGCGCAGCACTTGCTGGTTGCGTGAGAGAGTGGGCAGTGCTCTCAGATCAAACTAATCTTTTGAGTAGAGAAAGGAACTACAAGACATGCCTACTGCTTACTTACTAGTCAAGCTGAGACTTGGCCAAAACATTTGAACTCTGTATGACCCTGCACATCTGCTGTGCATGGTATTGAAAATATGCATGCATGGTATTGAAAATATGTTTGAAAGCACCACGGTGCAGTAGTAACGTTAGCCAAAAGAGAGCCATTTCAGCTCGGCTAGTTACAAGTTATCTTGTAATGTCTCTTTCAAACAGATAATTGCCAGATAGCTCTATTGTTGTCTACATAAACGTTATTAACAACTGGTAACACATGTAACTACAGAATTTGATGGTCAGTGAAGGCATCTGCACATTACATTTACTCGTTCCCTTCAAGAAAGCACCTAAATGCGGACTGGCAACTGCTGTCTGCTTGCCATTTGTGCCACAAATGAATTAAACTTGAATTCAACTTGAATGAATAAAACTTCCTTTCCTATCTGCTTCCCTTGATTTTGCCTGATCTGTAGCTCATTGTGCCAGCGGATCCAAAAGACTACAGAACAGGCAAACCCAAGGCAGAAAAGACTCAACAGACAAGACCAACATTTATTGTTTCTCTGCCAGTTTATTGTAAAAACCATCACAAAACTATATGTAATAGTTAGAAGAAAATCATGAAAATGAGGGGCTTTAATAGTATTATCTTCATTGTCCTTCAACTGAAAATCACACCTGAAAGCTGCACAATGTGGCATTGTATGTTGTATTTTCCTATTTTGAGCCACTTATGCTGGCCAAAACAACTGCATTTACCTCCAATACAACCATTTGAGATCACCCACTAAACATGCGTTGTGCATCTAAATTACTGGCTCTCATGCCAAATATCTCAAATAAACCAGTGGATTTTTTAGTTAATAAAATATTTCTCAGCATCTTTCTCGCCACAGTTAACCTCTCCTAGGCCAGCTTGTGTTGTGGTTTATCGAAAGTGAGCAAAAAGGCTGTTAAACAATCAGATATGATCTTTGGGGCAAAAAGGCAGTTAAACAATCAGATATGATTTTTTTGTCTGTTAATATGTATTATGCTGTCTGTTATGTTTTACAATAGGTGATCATCTTCTTTATGTTCATTAACGTTTTTCTACCTAAACTTCTTACATGAGTGCCAGAATAGCGTAGACATGAGATAACACATGAACAGTGGGCATGTAAAGTGTGAAAACAGCATATCTGGTTAAGGAAAAGTGGAACTTATGCACTCACAATTTTGGTAGCAATAAGCTCTAACTCCATTTATAGGATATAAGTTATTCAGGAAGTAAGCATGGCAGTCTCCATTTGGAATTTGATTTTTTGTCTTGTGTGCCTGAATTTGTTCACAGAAACAACAAGCACAGTTTTATGAGAACATCATGCATGCTATGAGACCTCAGCCTGAATACTTTGCAGTGGGCTACTACGGCCAGGGCTTCCCATCTTTTCTCAGGGTAAGTGGCACAAGTACAGGCTAAAAAAATATTAATGTTAATTATCATATTAATCCCTGCATTGATCAGGTGGTGCTTCCTGGGTCAGTTATCTGTACTCTCTGTGGTCCTCATCTGTAATGAGTCTGATGATTGCTGATTAATCAGAGAACTTCTGTAGATGGCAGTTTGGTGAGCTGTACATGAAGTTTGCAGTGTACAGGGTGAAAAGGAACAGTGCCAGAACTGTTCCCTGTAGGGGCCCCTGTGCTACTGACCACCATGTCAGACACAGTCCCGTGCCCTCACATACTGTGGTTGGTTGGTGAGGTAGTCCAGAATCCAATTCGATAGGTGGTGATCCACCCCAGTGTTCTCCAGCTTGCTTTTCGTGAGCCTAGGCTGCATGGTGTTAAAGGCACTGGAGAATTTAAAGAACATGATTATCAACAGTGCTCCCAGGCTTCTCCAGGTGAGAAAGATAGATGACTGTGTCATCCACTCCAATGCCAGGTTTATATGCGAACTGAACTGGGTCCATAGATGAACTCACCAAAGTTCTATAGTCAAGTGAGGTTGGTATAAAAAAAAAAAAATATGTGCAGATACAGTGAGATACAGTAGTGGATCTGCAATTTTAGACTTTAGATTTAGACTTTCAGAGGCACTGAGCATCTTGTTAGGATACGTGGTGCCATTGACCAATACATTTTAGGTTCAGTCCTGACTGTGTCTGCCAAACTTGCCATGACTGGATCTTCCAGCAAGACCATGAAGCATTCCTTCAAACCCACACAATGTTTAATTAACTGCAAAATCAAGCTATTTCTGTGGACATCCCAGTCCCCTGATCCAAATCCCACTGAAAACCTGTGGGCATGGCTGATCAGGAGAGTTCATAAGACCAGAGTCTGTAGTCTGGGGACTTTGGATGATATAATAGCCCACCTTTACATTTGTTCTCATTACAAGCATTAGAAGAGACAGTGCTGTTATTTTATTGTTAAGTAGAGTGTACACAAAGTGCTAACTTGTTGAAAAAGACCCTGTTGAATGTTTACACGGTTTTGAATGTTTCAGAACAGAGGTTCGTTCCTCTTTTTTGTGGTGTTTTTTGAAACAATGTATGTGTACATTCCTGGATGCATATGCATATGATTCGTTCATTGTACTTTCACAAGCATGCGAATAGCAAGAGAATAGTATACAAATGATACAAAATATTTGTGTGGCATCTACGGTACAAAACTATGAAGTAACAGCATTCCTAAAAAACCGTACGCACTTAATGTATTTGTTGTTGTAAAATAAGATTCAATTATTTTATTACTATTTACTATTACTATTTAACTTGTTAATTTATTTCTGTAAAATAAATGCGCCAAAGGTAACTAGTAGTTAATGAGAGTTATGAGCCGCTTGTAGATGACACTGATTAAGCACTATCTCGTTAGGTTGATTATAATTTTATGTAACCTGACAACATATTAAGAACCTATTAGTTTAATATTTTTTGCTCTGTGATCTTAGAGGGAATAATAGGCATATTGTTTGCTAACTTATGTCTAACTTACAGTTTCCTGGTATGACTGACAACCTGTTCCGGGTTTGTCCATTATAGAACAAAGTGTTCATCTACCGTGGTAAAGAGTATGAATGGCTGGAGGACTTCAGTCTGAAGTTGCTGTCTCAGTTCCCCAGTGCAGTCAGAATGACCAGCACAGCGCCCCCTGGTGACACCATCTGCAGCTCACCTGGCCAGCGTATCCTCAAACATCACTGAATGCTTTTCATGTTATGAGCTGCTTGTTATACTGTTACAGTTTTACCATCAATACATATTGTGTGGAAGCTTATTGTCATTTATATTGTAATTTATCTCTGATTTGGTATGGAAAATGAAATGCTTCAATGTGCATATTAAATACTTGAGATATATATATATATATATATATATATATATATATATATATATATATATATATATATTTTTTACTAGTGTTAAGGATTACTGACTGAACATTGTGTTTTGTGAGGTCACCATCAAATGCACGGTGTAAATAAGTGTATTTAACGCTAAAATCATTAAAATTGAGTGATGTCTTTGTTCTGTTAAACCCTTTACATAAGCATCTTAGATATTCGGTGCTTTACTGTCAAGCCTGTCCTCAGTTTGCCTCTGCAGTTTAAGGATAAAGGTGTTCCAGAACAGATTCTAAAGTATGAGATGCTACATAACAAATGTCATGCTAAAAATATATTTATGATGAAAAAATTATGAATTGAAAATTTGATCTACTCTGTTTACATCTTTCTCTTTACTCGTTGTTCCTCCCAGTTACTACAGAACAAATCAGGTGGACCAATTCCAATACTCAAGACCATTCAGGAAAGGTGAAAAAGATCCAGACAACGAGTTTGCTGTGAGTTAGTAAACCCTATGTTTGTGTTTCACAATTTCCTAAATTTTAATGTTTTACCTGCTCTCAGCACACCTGTTCCAAATAATTAGCACATTAACAACCCTTACCGGGTTAAAGTGAGTGTGTTAAAGCAGGGAAAACACTAAAATGTGCAGAGCAGGGTGCCTCCAAGACCAGGGTTGGGAAACACTGCCACAGACACTGCAAGTGTCAGTGTCTGTGTCAGCTAAATGCAGTCAGCCATGTAAATCTTTTAGAAGGTTTTAGAATGTCACATGGTTATCATTCCTGATTTCATGGGTTTACAAGCAAGAGATGTTTTTAATCTGTGTAGCACTGATCAGATAACTTGGAGTGCTCGATGTTATTTGCTGCTATTGTAATAGGGATTGATTGGTGTTAAGATTTAAGGACCTCTGTATGGGTCAATCCACAGATAAGAGTTGAGGGCTCATTCTGATGCTAATTCTCATTCTATTAGCAGCATTCTAAAGGGTAATAGCACATCAGTTAAAAAGTATAAATATAGAACAAGAATATTCTGACAAAATGTATTGCCACACGGTGTTGTAAGTAGTTCAGTTCTTTTTAAAGAGAAGAAATGTTTATGTTGGGCTGTTCTAGGTTTACTTGTTCAAGGACCTTTATGTTGAAGAGTCTGAATGGAGGTGGAGTGGTGGGATTTATGTTGTAGAGCAGAGGGCAGAGAGTTTTTAGCTGTTAGTGAAACATCAAGCTATGTTATGGACTGTAACCTCAAGGTTCTCCTAGCAGTCCTGAACATTACAATAATTTGTAGGTTGTCTTTATTGATGGCCTACATTTATATCTGAATCCCAAAATTAAAAACCGAATACCTGCCCAACGAACAAATACCCGAATAGTTAAATGCTCGGGTCCAGCCCTAGTAGAGTTGTAGGTAGCTCTACTAGTAATTGCTTTGTTCAAGTATACTTTGTCTTTTTACTTGTCTTACAGACCATGTGGATTGAAAGGACCACATTCATCACACAATACCACTTCCCAGGAATCCTCAAGTGGTTTGAAGTGAAATCTACATCTGTGGTGAGTGCAAAGAATGTGATTCATAAGTGCACCCTTTATTGACAGCTACCTTTCTCTTTTTCTCTCATTCACATGGACCTGTGATAGACGAGGCTTACAAGGGAGTAAAAGATTAAAATTTAATTGCATTGTAAATTAATAGAAAACTGAAAATCCAGGTGGGTATTGAAGGCTTTAATCACATTGGGCTAATGAAGTTACATAACCCTGAAAGAGAAACAGTCTCCCACTGTAAGGAAAACCTGTTTTTAGTGTGGCCCAAGCTGATTTAGTACATAAAAGATAACTTGCAACATGGCACATAGAGTACACAGAGCAAATGAAAGCTGAAATTCCGGGTGGATATAAAAGGCCTTATTCACTTCGATCCAGAGGAATTACATATCACAGATAGAGAACTTGTCTCTTACTGTAAGAAAAATCTGTTTTTAGTCTGGCCCAAAATGAATTAATACATAAATGGCAACTGGCAACATGGCACATAGAGCAGTGGTGCCCACAGGAAAATAAATAGGAAACTGAAATTCCAGAGGGGTATTGAAGGCCTTATTCACATTGGGCCAGAAAAATTACATGCATATTGTTCTGTTCCATGTTATTCTTCTTAGGTAATGGTAATGTGAGCTCACTTTTGCACATTAGCAAAAGTTTGATTTATAGTCAAACTGTAGAATTTCATGTAGCAACAAATGAGAATAAAAGAGCTTACGAAGTCTGAATTAAATATCGTGAGGTAAACACTGTAGGTCTTAATTCTGCCAATTAAAACACCAAACTTCCCAAAATGAAAATCTCTACAAATCTAATCTGCAAAATTGATGTGACGGTTATCATGCAAAACAGCAGATTTCTACAAAAAAAGATGGGTTTATGTATATGTATATAGTATATAGTTTAAATCCTGCTTGTAATGACCTTATTTCTATAATGTACCTGTAATTCAATTACTGCCTTTTTCTTGTAACTGTCACGTAATTCAGTTAATTTTTTTTTGCATTTTAATTACGTAACACATTTACATGTATTCTGTTACTATGTTACACCTTTACATGTATTCTGTTACTACCTTACCTTGGTGGTATTGATGTAAAAAAGACCTTATTGTAAAGTGTGACTGTTAATTCCATTGCTGTTATCAGGATGAGATCAGCCCATTAGAGAATGCGATAGAAACCATGGAGCTGGCTAATGAGAAGCTGAGTAATCTTGTACAGCATCATGCATGTGACCGCTCTCTTCCTGTCCATCCTCTGTCCATGATGCTCAATGGCATTGTGGACCCAGCGGTCATGGGTGGCTTTGCAAACTACGAAAAGGTCGGTCTTAGTCTTCCGATTTAAATTCCTTACTTTGTTTCTTAGAAAAGATCAAAAATGTTTTTCCTTTCTTGTGTCAAAATAAAATTTGGTAATCGAGCTACACTATATGGACAAAAGTATTGGGGCATGTACACATTACACCTACAGGAGCTTTTATGACATCCCATTCTAAATCCATAGGCCTTAATATGATGTTCGTTCCCCCTTTGCACTGTTACAGCTTTTACTCTTTTGGGAAGCTTTCTACAAGATTTTGGGGTGTGTCTGTGGAATTATTTTTGCCTGTTCATTCAGAAGAGCATTTGTGAGGTCAGACACTGATGTTGGACGAGAGGGCCTGGCTTGCAGTCTCCGTTCTAGTTTATCCCAAAGGTGTTCAATGGGCTTGTGGGCCAGTTAAGTTCTTCCACACCAAACTCACCCAACCAGGCCTTGTTTTGTGCACTTGGACACAGTCAAACATTTCCCTTCACTAAAACTAAGGGGCGTAGCTCACTGAGCTCTTCAGTATGACGCATATTACTGCCAGTGTTTGTTCGAGACTGCATGGGAATGTGCTTAATTTTATCCACTTGTTAGCAACGGGTGTGGCTGAAACACCTGAACTCAATAATTAGAAGGGGTGTCCCAATACTTTTGTCCTTGTAGTGTATATAACTCATGTTTCACTTCTTGAACCCAGTAAATCATTCTTTACATATTAATAGCTTTCTTCATGTGATCATTGTTTTGCTCCTAGATCACCAGTCCTTAGGCATTACCTCTGTATTTGGGCTTACTGAATATACTGATTGCAATTTTTGTTGACATGCAGGCGTTCTTCACTGAGGCTTACATGCAGCAGCACCCAGACGATATAGAACGTATTGAAGTCCTTAAGCACCTTATTGCTCTACAGGTGGCACTTTGGACTTACTCATTAATTAAATTTACAAAATAAACATCCTCATGTTTTACATAAATGCATATGTTACATTTTATTCCAGCACTGCAATTATCAGTGCTGCAGCTATGTTGGCATGTCAAATGTAAAATACTAAGATGGAAGTTCTTATGCTCAGATCCCACTGTTGGATGAGGGCATACGGATCCATGGGGAAAAATCAACAGAACAGCTGAAGCCCCTTCACAACCATCTGGTCACATGCTTCCAGGAGCTGAGAGAGAAAGTTGAAAGACAGTATGGAGTTATCACTCTGGTCAGTGTAGCTTTCAGTCTCTTTTACAGCCTTAAGGAAATCCACTTTATTAGCTCCTCATTGCTTTTATCTGACTTTCAGTCTGCTGCTGATTGACATGTCACTGTTACTTTGATTTGCTTTGTCTTAACTGTAATACTTCTGTAGACTCTTTTTGTATGGTGGACAGATATGGGTAATTATGTACAACATGTTTCCATATGATACATATAAAAACATAAATGCATAATTTTGAATGTAGTTTTCATCCATAAGAAAAGAAGTATAATTCAGATGTATCCCTTTGTTTACCTCCCATATATGCATGCCTGCCTTTGTGTCTCCAGCCATGCTCCCTGACAAAGAAGAAAAAAAGTCGTGTGGGATCAGTAGTGGTACCTTACATAATGTCCTCTACACTGAGACGCATGTCAACCATCTCCACACAGTCCAATGCAACTTCAGGCCTCTCCAGTGGTTCTGGCTCTTCTGAGGGAAACCCTTCCAGACCTGCTTCCCAAAAGTATGCTTCTGAAACCCTATGCTTCTCACCAACTGTTCCTGCCTTCCTCCCCAAGGATGAAATTTTACAATAATGCACTGTAATAATTAATCCTCTGGGAGGAAGGCAGGAATAGTTGGTGGAAAGTGCAGATTTCAATTTTCAACATTTCAGCAACAAGTGAGGTTATAGGGCCCATATTCTACATATCCTTCTATCCATACCCTATTTTTGTGTTTTATTAATTTTTTTTTATTTTTTTGTGATTTTATGTCATAATTAATTTTTACATGACCATTTTCCAACCCTTCTTTATCACTTAAAATGAAAAAGGATGTTTTTGTCAACTGTGCCTCAGTTCTGGCTGCCCTGTATTGTGCTTCATTGAAAAAGCAGTCCAAGCTAAAACGCTGCATTCTTCAGTGTAAATGGGTGGAAATACAATGCTGTAGACTAAATGGGAGGATATATAAATGTGTTGTTTTTCATGAGATCACAGAAACAATTAATTCAAGATGGGCTTCTGGGAAGAGAAAGGGACAGTTTCTGTCCAGAGCAGTTTTCAAAATGTGCCAAAGACAAAATTGCCAAAGACAATCTGTACAAGATATACTTGATTTTCAGTAATAGCGCCCCCCAGTGGCCAAATATTTTGAAACTTCACAGGTTGTTAGAAGGTGGTGAGATAGAGATAGATATGAAGTATCATAAGGATTGGCCAATGGTAAGCCTGTCAAATGGCTGCTGAAAGAATGTAGAAGCCAAAGCAGCACAAATTTGAGCATGGCATAGCTTGATCTAGCAAAATAAACTGTAGAGAAGAATTGAGTAAGTGCATTTATTTAATTAAAGCAGTAAACGAAGAGGAAAAGTGCAGAGGATCAAAGAGAAATGGCACATGTGGTGCATGAAGTGCAGTACATTGTTAACCTATGTTTTGCAATCTGTGAGGTCTTGGGGCACATGTTTTGTGATCTAAGAAACTAAGTTGATCATCCAGGATCACCCCTTCAGCCCTGTGTGATGGATGGAAGGTAATGGAATCAGTAGTGAGAATGAGGTGTACGAGAGTGCTTTGCAAGTGAGCTCTGTCTTTTGCAGATTCAATTTCAGTTGGTGTGTCTCCATCCATGAGGAAATGTCAGAAAGTCAGTCAGATATGTCCTGTAAAATGGTTGGTGGAAATGAGAAGTACAGCTCAGTGTCATCAGCGCAGGTGTGATAAGAGCGGCCATTTGAGCTTATCATGATTCCAGTGATGTAATATACAAGGTAAACAGAAGTGGACCAAGGACTGACCCCTGGGGAGTTTTAGTAGTGAGGCTTTCCTGGTAGGATTAATCCTGAAGATCCTGAAGATGCCCAAGTCCAAAAGTGTTGAGAGTTCGCAACAACTGTAGTTCACAGTGTCAAAGCCAGGAGACAGGTCAAGGGGGATGAGGACCGAAGACATGCAGATTAAGAAGTTTGTTCTACACAAGATGGAAAAATAGCTGTGCATAGAGGTGGGCAATGTGAAGGTATTTTATTGTTATCGTGATAAATTATATCACAATACACTTTTCTGAGCATATTGTGGATATCAGTGTCTAAAGAACACTGAAAAACTACATTCTACTACCCCTAGCTGTGCCAGGACAGGCCATTCTGGAGTTAAGGACGAAAATGAAAGGAGTGAAATGGGTCGATAGTTCATAACGTTTGCATGATCTAGCGAGGACTTCCTGAGTAGCAGTCGGATTTGAAAGCGGAGGAAACCTGACCAGAGATTAATGATAAGTAAATCACTGAAGTCAGAAGTGGAGCAAGGTTAGTGGAGGTAGTTTGGAGAAGTGTGGTAGGAGCTGGGTTGCTTGAGTCACAATTAGTAGTAATTAGTTTCATTGCAAGGCGGCACGGTGGCGCAGTGGGTAGCGCTGTCGCCTCACAGCAAGAATGGCCTGGGTTAGATTCCCGGCCGGGTGACCAGGGTCGTTTCTGTGTGGAGTTTGCCTGTTCTCCCCGTGTCTGCGTGGGTTTCCTCCGGGTACTCCGGTTTCCTCCCACAGTCCAAAAACATGCAGTCAGGCTGATTGGACATGCTAAATTGCCCCTAGGTGTGAGTGTGTGTGTGGATGTATATGTCTGTTTGTCTGCCCTGCGATGGACTGGCGACCTGTCCAGGGTGTATCCTGCCTTCCGCCCGATGACAGCTGGGATAGGCTCCAGCACCCCACCGCGACCCAGAAGGATAAGCGGTTTAGATGATGGATGGATGGATAGTTTCATTGCTTTATGATTGGTTTTTTCCATCTCTGTTTGTTTGAAGAGTGATTTGATGTCAGTTTTTATGTTTTTTAAGTAAGACATGAAGCCCTCTAAAGTAAGAGAAGAGATTGGAAGTGGAGGAAAGGACTGAATAGAGAGGAGAAGGTGCAGAAAAAATTATGTGAGTTAGAAATGCAGCTATTTAACTTGTGTGTTGTAGTGTTGCTTCCACAAAAAATAGCACCACTCTAATTGTTACTACTTGTGGAAGCTGATAATTGGGTGAAAGCTTCACCCTGCCCCTAGCACTATTGATAGGAGGAGCTGGATGAAGGCAGATAGCTGACTAAGAGCCCAGGCTACTAACTAATCTTCGCCACTGTGTGAAGGAACTGCCAGACAATAAGAGCCAAAAAAGCAGTAACACGCCAAAGCTACAAAATGCTAAGACTAAGCTTTAATCAGAGGCAACAAGCTTGCAACTAGGCTATGAATTAACCTTGAACTAACCTTGAATATACGAAACAGCAACCCTGTGTACTTCAACCCTGTGTACTTCATTGCATGCTTGAACCCTAATAATAATAAGAAAAATCTTGACAAAAACAATAGGGTTCAATGCATTGCATGCTTGAACCCTAAATATAGCCGCAAGCAGCAATGAGCGGGTTCAAGCACGCAACGGCCGTACGGGCCCTTCTGCAGGTTTAGCCCATTAGGCCTAAAAAGGCCTCAAGCTTCTGGTTTAGGCCTTTAGGCCTAAAAAGGCCTCAAGCTTTTCGTTTAGCCCATTAGGCCTAAAAAGGCCTCAAGCTTTTCGTTTAGCCCATTAGGCCTAAAAGGCCTCAAGCTGTGGGTTTTATTTATAGGCAGAGTGAATAGAACTGAAAGGAAGTCAGTTCATCAATAGGCCTTCAGTTGCCATAAACAACGATCAGAGGTCTTTAAACACAGTATAGGTTCATATTCATATGTACTGATCTACACTGGTTTGTAGAACATCCAAGAGGTTGTCAAAATAGATGTCTAAACTACATGACTAATGGCAGCATTTCTCACATAGTAGCACTTGCACAGTGGATTGGTTCTATATTTAAGCCATTGATTTGATGTAGGCCATAATGAGGCCCAATGCACACATAAGAGGCCCTATTGGTGTGAGGAGCTTAGTGAAAGTGGGTCAGAATTAGTGAAAAGACCACAATATGGTATCTTTCTTGATTAGGGACCATATACAAGGCAGTATACCAAGTTTTGGGTAGACTGACCTTTTGACCTTTATATAATACATCTTTGTATAATGTAGCCTTTGAATCAATTAGCCAAAATAAAAGACAAACAGTACAAATTTTCAAATAACATGTAATTAGAAAGTTGTTCAGGTCAGCGAACTAACTCACATGGCACCAATCATTTATCTGCAGACATTGTAATAACATTGTAATAGCATTTTAATTGATTTTTCAATGTTTTTGAGTGCTGAAGTGCCCACTAAAGGCCAATCTGGACCACAATTGGCATACTCCATTTGAGTCTTAATCTGAAGAAAACTTCAAAGTTTGGACAGGATCTGACCAATGAATGTTGAGTTATAGCAATTCAAGCTAGCAATGCAATGGCCACAGCAATTAATTGATTGTTACACACCATAATGAGTAAAAAACTCCAGATGTTTTTGATAATTATTTACCTAGAGATGCCACAGAATTGTTCTAGACCAGTTTCGAAAAGATGGGATCAAAATCCAGAGACTAGTTCGAAAAGTATGGTTTTCAAACAGTTAGCGATCACAAAAAAACTATACAGTTTTGTAGAAAAGATGCATTGGCAAAATTGTTTGGCATAATGTACTACAATGGATCAATTTTCATCTACAATTACATCCAAACTGTAATAATATAGTAATAACATGTAATAATAGGTTTATTTTTATGAATAGCGCCCCCCAGTGGTCAAATATTTTGAAACTCGACTCGTTGTTAGGAAGTATATATATATAGACACCAGTCAAGTTTCATCATGATTGGTCAATGATAAGCCTGTCAAAAGGCCTGCTGAATGCTTATTGGCCGATGGCGACCACAAATTTTGATATATCCAATTGTCCTTAAACGAGCACTTGTGGACTGTTTTGGCTGGATCGGATGTACGGCTGCAGAGAAAATGCCATGTTTCTATTGCTCCGCCCCCTAATTACGTATGCGCACAAAAATCGAATGGCCACCTCAGAATAGGCTACTGACATGGCCTGTGAAGTTTGAAATTTTTTGGCTGAAGGATTCTTGAGTTACAGATTTTTCAATTAATTCTGAATTATTTTGAATTTATTCAGAAGGGTTCATTTGCATATGGCAGCCATGCTGTATGGAAAACTCAAAATGTTTTTGATAATTATTGACCGTCAGGCTCTTATTAATTTTTTGACACCAAAGAGATGAGGATTTATAGTCACTTATAGTCTGTCTAGTAGATGCTACATGCCAAGTTTCAGCTCAATCGGATGCACGGATGCTGAGAAGCAGTTAATTGGCATTTGCCCCGCCCACTAATGACGTATGCCCACCAAAATTGATATGCTACCACAGAATCTTGTCTTAAATGTGCATGTCAAGTTTCAATGTTGAAGGCAGAAGCATTCTCCACTTATAGAGTTTTAAATGAATTATGAGCTATTTCAGAAGGGTTCATTAGCATATGGCAGCCATATTGTTTATAATTTTTTGATAATTATTGAGGATAAGACTCTTCTGAATTTTCTGATACCAGACACATGA